GAGTACGAGCCCTTGGGCTGCTTTGAGGTGGGCGGGGGAGGGGGGTTTAGGGTTTAGGGTTTAGGGTTTAGGGTTTAGGGTTTAGTCGTGCCAGCGGATGGTACCTGAAGTCCATGGATCACTGAGAAGGGGTGTAGCCTAAACCCTAAGCCCGAAACCCCTGAACCCTGAACCCTAAACCCTGAATCCTAAACCCCAAACCCTAAACCCCAAACCCCAAACCCTAAACCCTAAACCCTAAACCCCAAACCCCAAACCCAAACGCTCAAACGCAGACCACCACTCATGCCAGGAGGTGACCAATGGCGGCGAAGGAACCCTTATCGAGTCCTTGGAGGGTGACGTGGAGGCCGCAGCTGATAGAAGCTGTGGGTTCAGGGTTTAAGGTTTAGGGTTTAGGGATATGGAGCTGATATGGGGGTGTACAAAAATAGGGTATCCCTGAAATCAAGTAGTAGGATCCCTTGACAGGAGGACCCCAATAAGCTACCCCCCAGTTTCGCAAGCCCCCCATAGAAGCTGTCCGCCTGAGGGTGGCCTTGTCCCTGCACGTGAATGCAGCTGGCTCCCCAGTCTGGGATTGCAGCCGCCGTGGCGCTGTTTTGTCGCAACTTGTGGCTGCAAGGTCGCATGGAAGGCCATGATGCATGTCTCCATATACAGATCTGCATACATACGTAAGTGCACAAACACATGACACACACACACACACATACATATATATACACATATATATATATATATATATTTATTTATTTCTGTATATATATATACACATATACTTATATACATATTACATTATATATATATATATATATATATATGCATAATATATATATATATAGGGTGATCTATACACATGCTATGAAAGCACATCATATATCATGTATATATATGCATATATGCGCGCCCTTCAGGTGGGACCATCCTGAATGAACCGGATGCACCTCTGGCAGCAAAGAGTGGTGTAGACCCAAACCAGGGTTTAGGGTTTAGGGTTTAGGGTCTTATGGCCTTTGGGTTGTGTATTCGGTCCCCACCCTAAGCCCCAACCGGGCATTACCAGCTGCATGCCAGGCGGTGGCCAGGTGCGCCACTGCCACAGTCCGGAAGGCATATGGGAGTGACTGGATCACCTTTCGTGGGCACCTGTATGTGACATGCCATGGCACGCCTCACTTTGCTCGCCTTGCCCGGTTTCTTCTTCGGTGCTACCAGTAAAGTATGCTTCAGATGGACCCTTGCCGCCCCGGATTCTTGCCCCACCCACCCTTTCGCTGTGCTTCACAGTGCATGCAGCGAGTATTGTAGCATGTTTTGCCACCCAGGTGTTGCTAGCGAGAAGGCGGGAGTTGTTTGCTGCACGACGCGATGCCCGTGGTCGGTATCTGGCCCAGGGAGGATCGCAGGCCGATGCTGCGTGTCCTCACAGGTTGACTGCTAGCCTGATAGATCTACGTTTTCACTTCTTTGCCCGCCGGGGGGGAGGGCTTAAAGCGACCCCCCCGGTGGAGGGAGGGAACCCTGCGGGACAGCAAGTTCCAGAGACACCCACGGACTGCACAGTTCAGCACACCCTCTTAGTAGGCCCTGGCTGCTACAGGCCACGAGACATTTCTAGACAACCACCGATTCCAACACCTTGGCTGAATCGTAGGGCTTGCGCCGTAGTCGCAGGGGTTTCCTCAAAGCGCGTCCTGTCCCATGGTTGGCCGTGCACCGCTCCGCCAACAGCCATAGGACCCTTTCTTGCCGGGGGCACGGGCTGTCCAGTAGTGATGCTGGGGTCCGTTCTGCTCCTGAAGCCCTAAACCCTAAACCCTAGAACCCTAAACCCTAAGCCCTAAGCCCTAAGCCCTAAGCCCTAAGCCCTAAGCCCGAAGCCAAGCCACATGCGTGCCTGGCGACCCTTGCCAGGATGGCCCCGTTGCAGAGGCCGGTGGGCCAAAGTGACGGGGGAGCGGGATTGGCCAGAACTTCCCTAAACCCTAAACCCTAAACCCTAAACCCTAAACCCTAAACCCTAAACCCTAGTCCCTAAACCCAAAAAAAGAAAGAAACCCGGGAGCCCCTCAGGCTGCTGCCCCTTCTGGCCCTCGGGGCTGCGCAAGAGGCGAAGCCCCTCGCACCTCGGCAAATTTAAAGGGGGGAAGGCTCTTGTCGGTGTAGCTTTGACATTGGGGCACCTCTCGGGCTGTTGCTGTTTTTTCGTGGGTTTAGGCCCACTCGGGTTTTCGGGGTTTTTGGGGTTGTTTAGGGGCTTTCTTAGTTCAGGGGTTTGAGGGTTTAGAAGGCCTCTGGCTTCGGGTTTAGTGGGTGCAGGGTTTGCGTGCACTCAAGGTTGCAAACTACCTGGGCTGCTATGCTCCCCGGCCAGAATGGGCGGGTGCCGCTTCAACACCTTCTGAGACACGGATGGTGGGTTTAGGGTTCCCAAGTAGGGTGAAACTCTTCCGTGGAAGGATACGCGAGATCGCGAGAACTATGGCTTTCGCAAGAAGCACTGGGCATCGTCGCTGGATGACGTCATGTTCAAATGCAGTCACTCGGCGAGGTTGGAGTTGTTGGCCAGCACTCTCGGCTTGTGCGATGGCTGATATATGTATGTATATATATATATATATAATATAAATATACACATAAATATACATATATATATACATATATATATATATATATATATTTTTGTATGTATGTGCTGTCGGGAGGGGGCCCTTTTGCAGATTCGAAGTTGTCCCTGAGAGCGGACTGTGTAGATGCGACCAACGAGGCATGTCTCCCTTAGCTTTCCGACGTGTAGGACAGTGGACGCCTTGAGCTTGCGAAGTCATGCTCTGTGGACTTGCCAAGGCATGTTCAGGCGCGGTCACCCCGGCTGCACCACCGGAGTTTGCAGAGAGCTGGCAGCGTTGCAGTATGCCGCAACGTACTGTGTGGCACTTTCGCGGGCTTCCATGGACCCGCGGAAATGGCTGGAGAGCTCGAGGTAGTTTAGGCCTAGGGCATCCTTGGCTGTAGTGATCGGATAGTGAGTTGGCTTCTTCGCTTCGGCTCTGCTCAGATACGTCGTCCTGGAGTGCCCGTCGGAAACGCGGGCCGTGCTTCGCGGCAGCAGGACTTCTTCGACCCCCGCCATGGCCCCCGCCCCCCCCCCCCCTGTCCTCCCTTCCTTCAGTCCTAAACCCCTGAAGCCTAAACCACTAACCCCTAAACCCCTATAAAGCCATGAAATATAGAAAAACCCTGCAGAAAAATCCTCAACCCCCAAACCCGCAACAACCCTCGAGTGGGTTCAGGTTTTGGTGTACCAACCAGCTGTTTCCGGAGACCACGAAGCTCGAGCATGGCAACTGCTACGGGAACCCGGGCAGCAACTTGGCTGCCAATGGGGCCCTAGACTCAGTCCTCGATCAGTGTTAGGGCTCCTTTTTGAATTTTACTTTTTGGGTTATGGGCTTTCTTATGTATGAACAAAAAAAGGATGAATTTTTCTTCCTAGGGTTAAGTAGACCCCAAACCCGAAGCCCCTAAATCCTAAACCCTAAACCCTAAGCGCGAAACCTAAATCCCAAACCCCAAACCCCTAAACTTTGCCAAAGCCATCGCGCTTCTCCAGCTTGGTCATGCTGCTTTTTTCGCCCCACCCTCCCCCCCTCCAAACTTACCCCGTGGGAGGTGCGAAGAAGCTGAATGGAGGGAGCAACGGGCTCTGCTCCGGCCCGTACTGGAGCCCCGGCCAGGGTTTGGCACGTTTTGTGAGATATTTGGGAGAGAATCTCAGAGACACCCCGGCCCGCCGGCCCACCAAAAAGCATAATTCAATTAATTAAGTGTTTTTTTTTTTTCTCCTCAGGTGGCCTCTCCTGGAAGGCTCCGTTGCGCTCGGAGGCTGTGGGCCAGGGGAAGGGAAGCGCCTAAACCCCAGGCCCTAAACCCGAAACCCGAAACCCTAAACCCTTAACTCCGAACCCCGAACCTAAACCCTAAACCCTAGACCCCTGAACCCTGAACCCCCAAACCCCAAACCCCAAAAAACCCGAAGCTTTTTCTTTCGTTTGCCCTGCAGGCTGGCAGCGCGGGGCCGTCTACGGAGCCTTGACTGGGTCTGCTGCGAGCTTTCGTCCCGGCGTGCGAAGGGTTTCAGATGTCTTGTAGAGGCTTGTTGAAGGAGCCCAGCAGTTCGAGGCTTCTTAAAGGAGCCCCAGGACTTCACGAAGGTTCGGAGGAGTCCTTTAAGAGGCATGGGAAGTTTGTCGGCCGCAGGGGGTGTCCCTGTGCAGCCGAGGCGTCGTGCGCGACCTGGGCTTGCTCGCGGAAGCGCCAGGCGCTTTTGTTTTCCTGGGGCTGTTTGTTTCCAGGGCTTTGCTGCTGAGTTTGATGCTCTAGGACGCCTGCGTGGCGACAGCTTTAAGGAAAGCCCGAGACAACCCCCCAAAGTTCGGAGACTTGGGTTAGTGATAGTGGGTTTAGGGTTCGGGGCTCTGTCAGAAGCTGGGTGTTGGCAATGAAGCTTCGGAGAGGCAAAGACGTTGCGACGCAGGGGCAGCTTGGCTTCATATCAGATTCGTCGCAATGCTGAAAAGAGGTTAGAAGGCTCAAAGATGCTCCAAAGGAACGGAGGCCCAAAGGAAATGATCGAAGGAAGGGGTTTAGGGTTTAGGGTTTAGGGTTTATTGTTTAGGGTTTAGGGTTTAGGGGCTCAAAGGAGGCACAGAGGGCATCTCAGGGCATTCGGGGGGTCCCTAAACCCTAAACCCTAAACCCTAAACCCTAAACCCTAAACCCTAAACCCTAAACCCTAAACCCTAAACCCTAAACCCTAAACCCTAAACCCGAAACCCTAGGACAGTCCTGGCGCACAGCTAAGGACCGGCCTGGGCGTTCAGGAGATCAGCCCCTTGGCGAGTCTAAGGGAGCTGCCGCAGCCCACCCACTGCGGAGTTCCGAAGATTCCCAGCCTCCTCTGTTCTTATTTAATATTCATAGTATTACTAATATTAATAGTATTATTAATATTAGTAGTATTATTAATATGTGATCTTGCACGTCACACACGCCGAGGTGAAGATGGCAGCTACTTCTATGTGCCTTGGCATCAGCATGGGGATCAAGTGCGCAGTACTTCGGCTTGGGGGGCCCTAAACCCTAAACCCTATACCCTATACCCAAAACCCTAAACCCTAAACCCTAAACCCTAGACCCTAGATCCTAAACCCTACACCCTAAAAGCCTAAAGGCCATATCAGCTCTTCCGGATCCTTGGTGGGGTCCCAGAAGACTGAAAACGTCGATTTCAGGTAGAGAAGCGGGACTGGCAAATCCGCTTTGGTCCCCTGGAGAGCGAAGACGGCATTGCCCAGGCGCCTGCGTTCATACTTTCCTTTACTTTGCGTAGCCGGCCCTTGACTTTGCAGGCAGTAGTACATAGAAAGTTGCGACCAACATGTTGCATTCATAGTTTGTACTAACAATACGAACAACAATGGTAGCACGATAGTACCAACCTATGGGAGCGCGGTATGAGGCCCGGCCGCTCCTTATCCGAGAGCACCTAAACAGCTCAGAGAATTCGATGAGAGTTTGACCTCTGGCACCGGCGGTGCATGCGGGCACCGCAGAGAATGCTACGCAAGCCCTAAACCCTAAATAATGTGTCGTCAGGTCGTGGAGCAGCACCGTGATGGCGAGTTGGCTGGGGCCTCGTTGGGGGGTCGAGTTCCGCTGGCTTGTGTGCTGCTGCTTGAAGCTCTTGCGGTTTAGGGCTGAGGGTTGAGGCTTAAGTTGAGCTCTCCCCGATGCTCGCAGCTCCTTCTTCCCACCTCTCCCAATCAACTGCGCGGAGCAAGCTGGCGCGCAAGCGCTCCGGTGCCCATACTCAGGTTTGGACAGGATCCGTCAACATCTCCTTGCCTGGAGCAGTCGCCTGAGTTGCTTCCATGGCACACTGAAGACCACTGAGCAAGTTGCCTTCCTCCTCTGTCGTTTCTAGCTGTCAGGACATGGGGGGTACCCTTTTGGTGGTTCCTACAGTAAGGACTATTCTATATGTTTGGAAATACCCACATTGGCTGCTGTGAGTACCAGACAAACCGAGGCCTCCGTTTCTGGACCAACCACAACCACTCCCACCGCGACGACCACGAAGGTGGGCATCGGGCCTGATGCACATCGGGTCAGTTCTCTAAACTATGGCCCCTTGAGGGGTACGCTACATATTAGGGGCCGCCGAATACCGTATAACCGTTTAGTCTGAAAAGGGATCAGAATGTAGAGAAGTGACCATCTGGGCACGGTCTGACTCACTAAGTATTTTGGCCCTTTTTGAAGGAAGGGAGGCGGTTCGAACTCGAGGTTTCGAGGGGCAAGGAAAGCGCTGAAGCAAGATCAGTCTTGAGAACGTGCTTCAACATGGGGCCGCAAGGGGAGGGTCTCGCGGCCCCGTCATGCCTACGAAGTAGCTCTGCAGACAGCAGTTGCATGGTGGAGGGTTTGTGGGCAGCGTTGTGGAGAGCACGCGCTCATTCCCTGAGGCTCCGGCCACTGGGCGGCGCATCAAGGTCAGGGGCAAGATATGGCAAGACACACCCTCGAGACGGTTTCATGTGGAGCTTGCACTCCAGAAGATGCGAAACATGGGTTGGGATGTTCCCCCTTATGTTACCAGTCCTTAATCATAGCCCCCGATTACAATCCCTATTAACGACTGCTAGTATCAGGGGGAACATCCCATCTCATATAATGTTGGGGACTTAATAATGAGAACAGGGTTTTCGGGGTTGCTATAGTATAATCACAAAGGGACTATTACTAATCATTCCGACCCAAAAAATACCATTTCACAGGGTCTGGAGACGTCCCGAAGGAGCAGTGCAGCCTCTCCTTCCCGGTCCCGAAAATCGCGAAGTTGCTCCCGGGGCGACTGAAGTGTCGCCTGGCATGGTCGCTAGGGGTTTAGGGGCTTAGGGTTTAGGGGCTTAGGGTTTAGGGTTGAGGGTTGAGGGTTTAGGGCTTAGGGCAGGCTCGCGCTCCAGAATCTTTTGCTCTAGTCGCTTTCGTCCCTGTCTTGCCTCGAGAGGTTCTTCTTGCCAGCGACTGGGGCTTCACGTCTTGGGCCACAATAATATGCAACATCATAGAATCTAGTGGAGTCCCATCATGTGTAGACAACATGTATAGATATAAGGATATATATATATATACACATATATATTTGTACTTCAAGTGGCCTCAGAAAGGGGTCAGTGATGGTTCGCACTGAGCTCCCCAAGGTCACAGCATGGTCCTCGCCTCCGCCGGGTCTGAGGCCGGCCGGCAAGCAACATGCTGCAGAGCTTCTGGAAACAACAGCTATACTTCTATACCTATATACATACACATATTTTTGTTATGTAAGATGTAAATATACACAATTTTCAGTGAATAAGTAAGTGTTAATTATAGAAAGATACAGGTATATACAGGCGTACATTATATGACATGCTTGGACTCCTGCAAGGTCAAGGTCAGCAAGCTGAGAGAGGCACCCGGGGGGGGGGGGGAAGAATTGGGAAGAACTCCTTCCTGTCGCCTTTGTTGCACCGGGTTTAGGGTTTAGGCCCTGGGTTTAGGGTTTAGGGTTTAGGGTTTTTGGGTTATAGGGTTTCAGGGTTTTGGGGTTTTGGGGTTGTAGGGTTTTAGGGTTTTAGGGTTTTAGGGTTTTGGGGTTATAGGGTTTAGGGTTGAGGGGTTTAGGGTTTAGGGTTTAGGGTGCAAAAGGGTTTAGGGTTTTAGGGTTTTAGGGTTTAGGGTTTAGGGTTTAGGGTTTTAAGGTTTTAGGGTTTTGGGGTGTAGACTTGGGCTCCAGGTGGGGAAGCTCGGGAAGTTCATCAGCGGGAAGCTGCCGGAGTGGAGGGCCTACCGCAAGAACCTCTACGCGACCCAGCCTGACTCAGATTCAAAGTCCGCGTCTTTGGGGGGTTTAGGGGTTTAGGGGTTTAGGGGTTTAGAGGTTTAGGGGTTTAGGGTTCAGGGGTTAGGGTTTAGGGGTTTAGGGGTTTAGGGGTTTAGGGGTTTAGGGTTTAGGGTTTAGGGTTGGGGTGTTCCCCCCTTTTACTAGCAGTCCTTAATCGGGATTCTAGTACCCCTTCCCTATGAAATCCCTTAAGGACTGTGAGTACAAGGGGGAACATCCCAAGTTTCCCGTGTTGCTCTTTCCGTTTAGCCGCTGTCGCTGAGCCGAGGACTACCGAGCCATCGGCATGCCGGGTACGAAGAGGCGGATTCTTCAAAGCCTATGTAGCCCTGCACACCACCCTGTAAAGGGTTCAGGGTTTAGGGTTTAGGGTTCAGGGTTCAGGGTTCAGGGTTCAGGGGGTTTAGGGTTTAGGGACCCTAAAGCCTGAGCACCCTCTAAAGAACAGCAGAAACTGGGGGGGAAGTCTCGGCCTGGGTGTTGTCCCTCAAGCCTCTCAACCCTTGCGAATGGCGAGGAGGTGCAAGGAGGCCGATGAGAACATCTCGGACACAGCAGCTTGGCTTGTGTTTTTTTTGCAGCCGGCCTGAAATGGAAACCTTGCATGGTAATTCCCCGAAAATCAGGGTACCCCGATATACCACCACCCCCCTCCCCCCCAAAAAAAATGAAGAAAACTGAATGAACAACAAGCACACCTCCAAAGAAAAGGGAACCCCTGTTTTGGGAACCACTCCTCAAGCCCTAAACCCTAAACCCTAAGCCCTAAACCCTAAACCCTAAACCCTAAACCCTAAATCCTAAACCCTAAACCCTAAACCCTAAACCTAAAAAAGCAGATCAGAAATCAGTATCGGCCTCCTGAGGTCAGCTTCGAGTTCTTCCCGCCTGGCGCCTATGAAGTGCGCCTCTACAATGGCCGAGCCAGGCCAAGGGAGCCCGCAAACATTTTTGCGGGGCTTTAGGGTTTAGGGCTTAGTATTCAGGGCTAGGGTTCAGGGTTCAGGGTTTAGGGTTTAGGGTTTAGGGTTTAGGGTTTAGGGTTTAGGGTTTAGGGTTTAGGGTTTAGGGTTTAGGGTTCAGGGGTTCAGGGGTTCAGGGGGTTTAGGGTTTAGGGTTTAGGGTTTAGGGTTTAGGGTGCAAGGTTTAGGGTTCAGGGTTTAGGGTTTAGGGGCTCATGGTTGGGATGTTCCCCCTTCGAGGATTATTGTACACCCTACGAGAATCCCAATGAAGGACTGCTGGTATAAGGGGGAACATGCCAAGTTCAGGGGTTCAAGGGTTTAGGAGTCAGGGGTTCAGGGGTTTAGGGTTAAGGGGTTTAGGGTTGGGGGTTTTTTGTCTGTGTCTTTCTAGCCATGTCCGCCTTCTCTGAGGGTTTAGGGTTTAGGGTTACAGATGCTCATGATCTGATGAGTATCGTCAGGGAGGAGAGGAACGTGACTTTCGTGAATGTCGTGCAGATCACGGGAGACTGCCGCGTGAAGGCTGGAGTTTGGGGTCTGGGAGTTTGGGCCTTTAGGGGCTTAGGGGTTTGAGGGGTTCGGGGGTTCAGGGGTTTAGGGTTTGCGGGTTTGGGGGTTTCGGGTTTAGGTTAGATCATCCCCAAACCCGAAACCCCAACCCCCAAACCCCAAGCTCCAAACCCCCAAACCCTGAACCCGAAACTCGAAACCCTAAACCTTATCAACCCTGCAGCTCTTAGACCTAAAGCCCTAAACCCTAAACTTGAACCTTTTCAGCCCGAAGCCCGGAGCGCTACACCCTACACCCCTGAAGCCTAAACCCCTAAACCCCCTAAACCTAAACCCTAAACCCTAAACCCTAAACCCTAAACCCTAAACCCTAAACCCGAAACCCGAAACCCGAAACCCTCTAAACCCTGCGAGGCTGGCTGTGGCACTCGGGGAGAGGCCGGGGTTGGGGCGAACCGGGCCTGCGTCTTCCCCTTCCGATACGCCCGGGCCTTAGGGGTTTAGGGTTTAGGGTTTAGGGTTTAGGGTTTAGGGTGTAGGTAGGGGGTTTTGGGGGGTTTAGTGTTCCCCTTCCGCTACGCCCGGGCCTTGGTGCTTTCCAGGGGGTTTAGGGAGTTTAGGTGGTTTTTGTTATGGGATGAGGGGTTTAGGGGGGGGTTAGGGGGTTTAGGGGGTTTGGGGGGGGGTGAGGGGGTTTAGGGGTTTAGGGGGTTTAAGGGGGTTTAGGGGGTTTTAGAGGGTTTAGCGGGTTTTAGGGGGTTAGGGGGTTTTAGGGGTTTAGGGGGTTTAGCGGGTTTAGCAGGGTCAGGGGGGTTAGGGGGGTTTAGGGGGTTTATGGGGGGCTTCGAGTTTAGGGGTGTTCAGGGGCTTAGGGGTTAACGGTGTAGGGCTCCTGCCATGTACCCAGATCATGTTGCCCATCCAACAGAATAAGGGAGCTGCTGCAGAGCTGAGGATGGCGTCATGTACACCGAGTGCACGATGCAGAAGGCCCCCCCGAAGCACCCCAAAACATGTTGGGGGGGTCTCAAAGCGAGGTTTGTTTGTGTGTGTGTGTGTATTTTTTTTTTGCTTTTCTCCTCGCAACTCTCGATGTCCCGGCACCAGGCTTCAGAAAAGTGGTGCGCTACCGAAACAGATGCAAACGGCGTGAGCCCCAACGCCGGAGATGGGTCCCTGCCAGCGTGCCAGCGAGAGATCCTCAGGGATGCGCAGCCTGAGGTCACTACATCTCCGGACGATGGGGCCACTGCAATGATGCATGTGCCAAGGCAGCCCGTGCAATACTAGTACAATGCAACGCAAGTCCCAGAGGTCATAGATCAATGCCAAGTTTGTCATGCAGTATCTCGGTTCGCAGATGTTCGCAGGACTCTGAGTCAAGCGAAGTGGAGGTGCCGGTGACATACAGCAAGGTTGGGGCAGGCGCGCCCGAACACGAAGCAATGAGCACCAGGTGAGTAGAAGGTCACAAGATTGCATCTCCTGTACATCTCCCTAAACCCTAAACCCCCTAAACCCTAAATCCTAAACCTTAAACCCTAAACCCCTGTACATCTCCTACGGTGGCTGAAGACCTCCGGATCTGGAGGTGTCTCTTGCGGCACGGAAGCCTACCGAAGCTCGGACTCCCCAGCGCAGTGCCGCGAGTGGTGTACGCAGCCCCGTGGCAGCAAATGTCATTGTTCGTATTAATTACAATCATTCGTATTAGTATCAGTACTGGTCTTATTCTTATTCTTATTGTTATTGTTATTCTTATTCTTATTACACATAGGGATCTCATCATTCTGATTATGAATATCATGATTATCGTTGTTACTAATTACTCTTGTTGTTCTTAACTCTTGTGATCATGGTTTTATCGTTTAGTAGCATCATAAATTTGTGTACGGTTTTTTCATTGAATACGCATGCTGGCACACTTGCTCGAGCTGCAGGCGAGACGACTGTCAGGCCTATGTGACTGTCGTTGCTCGGCGCCAGCATTTAGAAGTCGCCAGCGGCACCCAAGGGATTGGAAACCCTCTATACGGGGGTTTTCGAAAACAAGGGGACGCTTAGTAGAGACCCCGAATAGTAGGCTTCCTTTGTTAGGACCCCATGAAGAAACTTCGAAATTCGGAAACCCCCATATTGTGCTCTGTCGCAGTGAGCCTGGCAGCAAGTTCTCGTCCAAGGAGGACAGCCCATGTGACAGTTGCCTCGCGTTTACGGAGAACGACTGCTCCTTGGCAAGCGTGCAGTCGCCGTGTGAGCCTTCCTTTCGCTTAAGTGAGCCCGAACGAATGACTGAAACATGGCAGCAGTCAGATTTGCATCAGTCGACGGCGATCCTGAGCTTTCAGAGAAGAACCAAACTCAAAGTGCATTCACACACGCTGACTGAATGACCAAGAGCACCGTGCCTCACGTACGTCTTGTAAAGCCATGGCGGTCGTGGCTCTGAGTGCCAGCTTCATGAAAACGGCATGCCTGCGGGTGGGGCAGTCGAGCCGGGAAGAATGGGAGCTGGTCATTCTATTCTGGATGCCCATGAGGTCGTTCCCTTGGGTTTGGGGACGGAGCGGATTCAGGGGACCCTTTGATAGGACAGCCTGAGTCGTAGAGGGATTCAATTTTTCTCTGCCGCGGCGCCCTTGTGCTTAGCCGAGGCTCCCTGGAGTACCAGAAAGCCAGCAACTGCACGGGCCAGATCTCTGCATACAACAAGATGGTCTCGCCGGGGAAGAAAAAGGCCCCACACCCTTCGATTGCGGACGTTTTAGAGTTTAGAGTTTGGGGGTTTGGAAGTTGAGGGAGGGTCTAAGTAACCCGACACACCGAGAGAAGTAGTCCGACTATAGACCACTGTTAAACTGGACTTAGCTTGATTTTGCCCCCAGCGAGTCCGGACCCCACACCGAGAGTTTTTTTTTTAAATTGCAGGCGATGACCAACGAGGAGTGCACTGCACCTCGGATGCAGCTAGCCCCTTCACGATGGACACCTCTGCACGCCATCAGATAGCTGTGAGCCGTTTCCTAAACTCCTGGAAGTTGGGATGCTTATACTAACAGTGCTTAATAGGGATGATAATCGGGGGTACTATAACCTACTATAATCCCTATTAAGGACTGGTATCAGGGGAACATCCCAACCTAAACCCCACTTCTCCGGCCAATCTGCAAACCTTTCTCTCGACCGGCGGCGTGGGTTTAGGGTTTCTCGCGCTGTAGGGTTTAAGGTTTAGGGTTTAGGGTTTAGGGAGGATTTGTTTGGGTTGAAACTGCTTGGAGGTTCATCTGGGTACTTCGAAGGTTTAGGGTTTAGGGGAAATGGTGGGTTTTTCCGGCAAGCAACATCAGTGATGAGCCCGACCAACAGTCTTCAGAGGGGCACTTCCCAAAAGACCCTACATCCCGTACCGTCCGCTTAAGGATCCCGCCCGCCTCCACGTACCCCCAAATCATGCATCATCCCCTTTTCTGAGGAATCCCCGCCCCTCCCTAAACCCTAAACCCTAAACCATAAACCCTAAACCCTAAACCCTAAATAAACCCTAAACCCTAAACCCTCAACCCTAAACCCCAAACCCTATACCCTAAAAGCCAAGGCCACCTTCACCTACAAGAACTGCAAGGACTGCACAGGGAGGGGGGGGGAGCCTAGGGAGCAGAAAAAGGGGGACCATCATCTGCCAGAACTGTCCCTAAAACCTAAAAAACCCAGACAACAACCCGCTTAGGAACTTGGCATGTTCCCCCTTAGACCAGCAGTCCTGAATAGGAAAAACCCCTGTAAGCCCTACAAACCCTCGAAACCCTACAAAGCCTGTAAACTCCCTTAAAAACCCCTACAAACCCTAGAAACCCTACAAAAACCTCATGCAACTCGGCAAGCCCTACAAAACCCCTGAGTCGTCCACCTCTCCGGTCTCAGGGTTGAAGAGGACGGCCAGGACGACCGCGACATCACCGTGGGCTTCACGGCCACCTACGAGGGCTACCCTCTGACCTACCGCGTCGAGCATCTTGGCTCCAAGTCACATGAGAGGCGTTTTTTTTTTTTTTTTTTTTTTTTTTCGCTTTTTTCGACTCTTTTAATTTGTGTTTCATTTATAGCAATATTTTCATACATTCCTTGTTCTGGCGTTCTTGAGATGCGATTGTACCTTATCATGTGTTCATGTATATGGACACTCCTCTAAATTACGCTTTTGGGGGTTGCTGTGATACCTCAGCCACTGATATCTTCGGGTACCATAAGGGACCCTAATTTACAGAACTCACCATATATTGTTCGGTATGGTGCTATCAGACCCCAAGCCCTAAACCCTAAACCCCTAAACCCAAAACCCTTAAACCCTAAACCCTAAACCCTAAACCCTAAACCCTAAACCCTAAACCCTAAACCCTAAACCCTAAACCCTAAACCCTAAACCCTAAACCCTAAACCCTAAACCCTAAACCCTAGCTTGTGGCCCAGGTATGGCGCCGAAGGGGGCGACAACTCCTTGGGCTGCCGCGGGAGCTACCGCCGCTTTTGCTGACAGAGAGAGTCACAAGAGGACTGAAGGGATTGTAGGGTTTAGGTTTTAGTTTAGGATGCAGGACCCTAAACCCTAAACCCTAAACCCTAAACCCTAAACCCTAAACCCTAAACCCTAAACCCTAAACCCTAAACCCTAAACCCTAAACCCTAAACCCTAAACCCTAAACCCTAAACCCTAAACCCTAAACCCTAAACCCTAAAGGTAGGGTTTGAGGTTTGAGGTTTGAGGTTTGAGGTTTGAGGTTTAGCGTGAGACCTCCATTCCGAGTTGAGGCTTCAGCCGAGGCTCCGAACGCAGGGCTGTGGCAAAGGCCTCTTTGCTAAGCACCACGCGCAACCCTAAACCCCAAACCTAAGCCCTAAACCCGAATTAGATTCCAAAACCTAAGCCCTAAACTCTAAACACCAATTGGAGTCTAAACCCTAAACCCTAAGCCCTAAGCCTTAAACCCTAAGCCCTAAACCCTAAACCCTAAACCATAAACCCTAAAGCCCAAACCCTCGAGTCTCGAGGCGATGCAGACTTGAAGTTCATGGATGCGCAAGGGGAGAATAAAGTGGTCACGCTGGTGGACTCCCGAGCTGCAGCGAAGTCTTCGGAAGCGCATTACATTATTACCAGGATGGGCGATTAGTAGGGTTTAGGGTTTAGGGTTTAGGGTTTAGGGGCCTTATAATCGCCCTATACAGGGCCTTTTTCAGGGATTTCAGGGTATAATGGCCCATCCTGATAGAATACTTTTCATATGCTGATATATACATTCACATCTCAAAATAATCGTGTAATACAAAGTGTTAGTGTAAGAATCGTATGATTACCCCCTCCGCCCCCTACCCAAATCAATGCGCCCTTGCAACATCTTGCGAACTGTTTCGGTACATTTTTTGAAGCTAGCTGCCTGTTGCAGCCTGGGACGGGGTCAAAGCTCGCTTCCTTTGGCTAAGGACAACGATGTGGCAGCGTTGGAAGTCAGCAACCTCCGCTTCAGCAGCAACTGCGTGGATCCCCAGCGAGGGTCTCTTGCGGGTGCAGCAGGGATGCTAGCCTCCCAAACCCTTAACTCTAAACCCTAAACCCTAAACCCTAAACCCTAAACCCTAAACTCTTAACCCTTAACCCTCCCCACCCTTGGCAAGCTGGGATCTTGAAGGAAAGCCAAAGAAGCGGTTCTCGAGTCGTCAACTCCGCTCCCCCTCTTCCGTTTGCGGAGCCGCACCAAATCTTGAACATAGCACCTAACGACCCAAACAAACCCCCTAAACCCAAAGACCCTAAACCCTAAACCCTAAACCCTAAACCCTAAACCCTAAACCCTAAACCCAAAGACCCTAAACCCTCAACCCTAAACCCTAAAAGGGAGGGGAGACCGAGGTCCGATGAAGAAGGCGCCGAGCAAGGAGGCTTGCAGTGTGACTTTCTTCTACAGGCCGGAAGGGTCGCGAGTTTAGGGTTTAGGGTTTAGGGTTTAGGGTTTAGGGTTTAGGGTTTCTACAGGCCGGAGGGAAGGAGGGGGGAAAGGGGGGGGGGAAGGAGGGTTTAGGGTTTAGGGTTTAGGATTGAGGGTTTAGAGTTTGGGGTTCAGGGTTTAGGGTTTAGGGTTGAGGAGGGGGGGGAAGGAGTCCGGGTTCTTTGGGGGTTATTCAGGGGCTGCCTAGGCATCTAGGGGCTATATAGGGGTCACATAGTCCCTCCTTATGCCCCTTGGAGGAGGGAGGGAGGGTTAAGCTCCTAGATCGTTTGGGGGAGGAGGTGGGTGGGGGAGGGGGGGGCTCTGGGCGTCCTGGGAGCTCCTCCTTATTGGGCCTTTGCCTAGTTTAGGGCTCTTTTTGTGGGGGTGTTTTGTGAAGTTTAGGATTTGGGGGTTTAGGGTTTAGGGTTTGGGGTTTAGGGTTTAGGGTTTCGGGTTTGGGGTTTAGGGTTTCTCACCCAGGGACTGCGGCAACAGCGCCCAGAACCAGGATCGGACGGCTCCTTGCCAGCACGGAGGGTTGCCACCATGTGGGCAGTTCTCTAGGGTTTAGGGTTTAGGGTTTAGGGTCTGTTCTTTGAGTGCACCCGTATGGTCACTTCTCATAATTAGGGTCCCTTTTGGGGTCGCTGTTGTAAGGCGGCCCCTGTTTTTGAGGGTGCCCCAAAAAAGGGGGCCCTGAATTTGAGAAGAGACCATAGCGTGCTCCGTACTTTCACAGAAGCCCTAAGAGAGGGGTGTAGCAGTCTTGGAAGCTGCCCAGATGCTATCGAGAACTCGCATTCGGAGTGGCCCAGGGTGTCTCACTACCTTCGTCCGACGTCCCTTAGGTGACCTTCGCGGCGTACTTTGTAGAAGAGATGTTGGGTTACAGCCTGGACTACAGCAATGAAGGCCGGGGGGAAGCTTCTTGCATCCGATGCCCTAAACCCTAAGCATCCCTACACCTACACCCCTCGACCCCTAAACGCTCACACTTAAACCTCTGAGCCCCTAACGTTCCACCTGCTTTAGGAGGGGCCCCCTGAGTACAGTCAAGCTTGCCGACCTATTCAGGACCGTGTGACTGTTCGGGGACGTAAAACCTCATCCGCTTTAGAAGTCATACAAAGTCCCACGACCGTTTACAGACAGACAAGATCAGCTTCGACTGTTCAGGGGGGGATGGGGGGGGGGGCGGGCACACTGAGGCACTAGGCCGGTGGAACATTAAACCCTAAGCCGAGGACTTCACAGAGAACATTGAAGTATCAAACTGCTGAGATCCCGAGGCGGCACCAACACGGATGGCTGTGGCGGAACTTTCCGTGCCTTTGCATTACATTGGTTTTTAGGGTTTAGGCTTTTTGGGACCCTTGCATGATTCAATTGCAAACGCTTGCGTGCGCCGCCTGGAACGCGGGGTGTATGCGCCGGTCTAAGGGGTTTCAAGCAGGGCGTTTAGGGTTTAGGGTTTAGGAGGGTTTACCGGGTTTAGGGTTTAGGGTTTGGGGTTTAGGGTTTAGGGCCAATCTGGCAGAGGGGTGGGGGTGGTTCCAGGAAGGGTTTTAGAGGCGGTCTCAGAGGGGTCCCCAAGATGTGACGCAGACTATCTTGGGGGTTTATAAGAAGTTGCATTGTGGTATATTGGTGAAGCTGTTGTTTTTGTACCGAAATTGGGGGTTTCCCAATTAGGGTTGGACCCTTCTGGCGGGTTCCTCCAACAAGGAGTCTTCTGTTTTATTCTATTTTTGGGGGTACATAAGGAGTTCCCTTTCTTGCGAAATGCCTGTATTCTGCATTGGTAGTGCTCGAGTGACTCTCCCCCACGTGCTTTTGGCCCAACCAAAGCCAGGCGACGCAAGCCTCAACTTCGTGGATGCCAACGAGCAAGAGCAGACTGTGGTGCTGGTGGAGCCTCCGCTTTTCAAGCAGAAATCTAGAGTTGATCGAAGTAAGCTCAAGCTTGTCGGCGAAAGATTTGGTGGCAGCTCTCAATTCCGTGAAAGCCTTGCATAACAGACTTCTGGGAACAGCATGCCGGCATGGTGTAGGGCAGTACAGTATTGTGTTGCAATGTAGGATGTTGTTCTGTGTTGTATTGGTATTGTATTGCACAGCATTGCACTGTATTGGGCTGTATTGTTCTGTTCTGTGTTCCTGTATTTTACTGTATGGTATAGTCTGCTCGGCTAACAATGCACATTGCAGAGCAGTGTAGGTTGGAGGGATCGTAGGTTTCTGTGAGGTCGGATGGAGGGCGTCGTGGTTGCGTCGAGGTTGTGTAGTTGAGATGCCAATTCTGATGCCAGAGCGGAGCATGATACCAGATGTCTTGCGAAAGGGGGCGCGACAGTTTCACGAAAGGGACACTACTATCTCGCGAGGAAACCGTGATCCGTATGAAAGAATTCCGATCTACGTTCAGTAATATGTAGTCATATCTCTCATATTGATATTGATATTGATAGTTGATATTAATCCCTGTACATATATAGTATGTATGTATGCATGCATGCATGTATGTGCATGTATGTATGTATGCATGCATGTATGTATGCACGTATGTACGTATGTATGTACGTATGTATGTACGTATGTATGTACGTATGTATGTACGTATGTATGTACGTATGTATATGTATGCTTGGTGTTTCTTGAGATGTTTCCAGAATTCTCCCGGCAGCGTATAGGACAATAGCGGACCGGCGGCTGAAGTCAGCAACTTCCGCTTCAGCAAGAACTGCCGCTGGACAGAAAGCGTGAGCGTTTACACTAACCCTAAGCCCTCAACCCTAAGCCACATATAACCCCGAACCAGTATATAAACCCTCCTAAACCCTAAACCCTGATCCCCAATTTTGGCGCACTTTTCGCGGTTTCTGCTCTGAAGCGTTCCAGCGCAGGTCCCATGAAGCAAGTGACGCTGCCGACCGTGGCAAACGTGAAGCCGGTAGCTCCACAGCAAGCGGAGAGCAGCCTGGGGTCTGTGGGTTTAGGGTTTAGGGTTTAGAGTTTAGGGTTTAGGGTTTAGGGTTTAGGCAGGGTCTGGAGGGGTTAAAGCCCTAATTAAATCGGAAGCGCCTAAGGACTGGTCAAAGCCGCTGGGATCCGTCATGACGGCGCTGAGCAGCCCTACGCACTCCAATGGCCCGTCGCATGACAAGAGCAACGAGTCAAGCGTCTCTAAGGTTTCGGGAAGTTAGGGTATTTAGAGACACTTCGCGCATTTAGGGTATTTCGGGTATTTAGGGTGTCCAGGAACAGATTTTGTAGTTTTTTCAAAATAGGGTCACTTTTTCTAGTAAGGCAGCTTATCGAAAGGAGATCCCTAATTGCAGACCCCCAAGTAGGAGACCCCAAAAAACTAACCCCAATTTCCGAAACCTCCATATATCTAGCCGGGTTTCTACTGTTTCTGTTCTCTCCCTTCCCTGCGGAATTGAGATGACTGAACGGGCAGCCCCCTAAACCCTAAACCCGAAACCCGAAACCCTGAACCCTAAACCCTAAACCCTAAACCCTAAACTCCTAAACCCAAAACCCTAAACCCTAAACCCTACAACCTAAAGCCTAAGACCCTAAACCCTAAACCCTGAAGCAGAGAGCCGTTGAGTTTCTGTTCCCCAGGATCCAAAATCTGCTGGATGCAAGCAGCGACACCTATGCCAACTTCGGAGGCATGTTGGGGGCTTTCCGGAATAAGGGGCTCCTAAACCCTAAACCCGAAACCCTAAACCCTAAACCCTAACCTTAAACCCTACACCCTAAACCCTAAACCCTAATCCCTAAATGAACCCTAAAATTTGGGATCATGCACCCTCTACTACTTAAGGCAGTATGGGGGTTTCCGATAATGGGGGATATATGACCCCCGGAAATAAGGACCCCAAGAAGGCACCCCCAATTTCGGAAACGCCCATGTCGCGGGCCTTGTCAGGGCGTTCAGAACCCTAAACCCTAAACCCTGAACCCTGAACCCTGAACCCTGAACCCTAAACCCTAAACCCTAAACCCTAAACCCTACACCCTACACCCTACACCCTAAACCCTAACCCTAAACCCTCAACCTAAACCCTAAACTGCGTGGGGTGCATCTGCAGGTCCAGATTGGAGCTTTCCGACCTGGGTTGTGCATTTTGGCATCCAAAGAGCGAGAGGTTTGGGGTTTAGGGTTTAGGTTTATTGTTTAGGGTTTAGGGTTTAGGGCTTCTTCGCATGTTGCGTTCATAAGGGGGATATCGGTGGGCCCCATGGCCATGGCCGGTTCAAGTCGAGGTTCGATTTGCACAGCACGATTCAAGTCGCTGGCCTCGAGATGAAAGCCGCCAACGCGGTGCCTCGGCAGCGTTGGCTTCGAGCCAGAAATTCGTCGTGGCACGCTGTTGCAGCCCAACTCGACAATCCTCCTGGGGGAGGAAGCATGTGGGACGATATTGGGGATACCTTATTGGGTCCTTATTATCAGGGAATCCTTCAATGTGGGTCTATTTTAGGTGTCCCTGTTTTCGTAAACCCCCATATCGATGGGGAAGTTTCTTTTGAGGTCGAAAGCCCGAAGCTGTTTGCCATCAGCTTCAGTGATGACTCGACGGCTGGCCCGTGGCAACCAGTGACCTGTCAAGCCTACCCGAAAATCTTAAACCCCAAACCCTAAACCCTAAACCCAAAACCCTACACCCTACACCCTACACCCTACACCCTACACCCTAAACCCTAAACCCTAAACCCCCCAATTGGACAGAGAGTGTGTTCTGCAGGCATCTTGAAGTGTCCTCAAGCGAAGAACCGCTCTCACAGGTGGACACCTTCCGCATCCACGCCGAGTGGAACGGAGTGAAGCGCTGGCCCTTCGCTGGCTCCTACGCAGGAGGGGGCGTGTTCAGCGTGCTCTGGTGGTTTCAGGAACACTCTGTTCTCTTAGGCCTTAGAACTGCTCCCGGTGTATGTTTCCAGCCACGCGCTCCCAAAACACAGTGACGACGCAAGAGCATCGCATGGCATGGCATGGCACAGGCCGCTTTTGGAAGCTCAGCTTCCTGGAGACCTTCGATGGTGCGGCCGCAGCCTCGGAAGACTCCCGGAGTGCTTCTGAGAGTGCTTTCTCGGTGTTCAGAGTGCAACGAGCCTCTGCTCTCCTTGAGGCTCCCACCATCAACTACGTGCGCCTCTACCCGCCGGAAGGCGCAGCGCCGAAGTGCGGAAATGCGAGGGAGCGAAACGTACGACGCGCGTTTACGCGGGTTTTGGGTTTAGGGTTTAGGGTTTAGGGCGGACGGCGCCAGGTGCCCTCAACGAGCAGCCACCCGCAGCCTCCCTCGCGCCGAAGTACAACACTGTAAGGGTGAAGATGGGCGCCCCGGACCAAAGCCCTGAAACCTAAACCCTAAGCCCTAAACCCTAAACCCTAAACCCGGAAGCTCCCAGGAGCGAAGTCGGTGGAGGCCGGCCTCCAGCATCTCATCATCATGGACATCCTCGCCTTCGATGCCTCAGGCGCCTCGTTAATCATTTCTTGTAGGTTTCCGGCAATGGGGGGTTGAGGGTTTAGGGTTTAAGGTTTAAGGTTTGGGGTTGAGGGTTCGGGTTTCCCCCCCCTATGTTTGGAAAATGCCCATGTAGCCACCCCCCAAGCCCCCCCCCTCCTCACCCTCTACCCCCCCCCTCCTGCCCGAATCGCAGATCCTGGCAGGGAACCAGCTGCAGATCATGGAGCTCCAGGTCTTTGCGGACAAGAACGGCGCGGATGCGATTGCTCCCGGAACCTACACAGGCGGCCCTCGGTTAGCGTAGGTCCCACCCACAACAGCCGAAAAATGAGAGCTCCTCCCTTGCCGAGCAGAGCTCCGGTACACACTTGCTTTAGGCTTTAGGGTTTAGGGTTTAGGGTTGCTTTTGAGGTGGCATGGCCATGGAGGCGGTCACTGATGGGTCCCACACGACTTTGAGTGACGGCGGCTGGGCACCTTGACGCAGAGCGACAGTGAGCGCGCAGCCTGCTCGTTTCTCAATCGTCTCTCATCGCTCTCTCTCTCTCTTTCTCTCTTTCTCTTTCTGTCTTCCTGTCAAAGCCCTTAGAGCCGACACAATTATTTCAGCACCATGGGCGTCGGCATGAGCTGCAGGTCAATGGCGAGCGCGGGCGCGACCCACACATCGGCACCCAGACCTTCACAGAGGGGGGGGGGCCTTAATATGGTCCCTTACCCTCTTAAAAGGGTTCTGATGCGAGGGCCCTTAATTTGTATCGGGTAAATAAGGGGATGTAAGGGGTCCCCTTTTTGGGGGCCCATGCTAAGAGACCATGAAACTACGTAAGGTAACCGAGAACGACTAGCATCCAACATTTGATGGAAGTGGTTCGGTTGGTGCGGCGTGACCGAAAAGGTCTTGAAGCCCGAAACTTCACGGAAGCAGCCCTAAACCCTAAACCCAAACCCCTAAACTCTCTAAACGTCTCTAAACCCTAAACCCTAAGTCCTAAACCCTAGACCCTTGAAGCCACGTAACGTTCTTAAACGCAAACCCTAAACCCTCAACCCTCAAACCACAAACCCCAAACCCCAAATCCCAAACCCCAGACCCCAATCCCCAAGCCAAAACCTCAAACCCTAAACCCTAGCTCAGGTGTCCATGGCATCACCGCCGTGGGCAGCGAGCTTTTCGAGATCGTGGCGGATGGCGACATCGTGCGCTTGCAGGCCACTTCTTCGCTCTTTCCGAGCGGGGATCACGTCATGTTGTGGTCCTCTTTCTTCATATAGGATTAGGACTAGGGTTTAGGTTTTAGGGTCTAGGGTTTAGGGTTTAGGGTTTAGGGTTTAGGGATTCCGACACTAGGGGTACCTTCTTGGGGTCCTGATGATAAGGGAATCGTACTATTTGGGGGTCTCTTTGTCGGGGGCCCCCTATTTTCGCAAACCCCCATCTTATAGAATACAATATGATCTTTTCTGGTAAAGTATTGTATTCAATCATATTATGTCAAATCTCTTTTTGTATACTCATAAAATATGCAAAATCTCATATTATACATACTATCCGATTGTATATATATATATATATATGTATCTCTTTAATAGTATGATACAGAATATAGTCATCCTCCTTCAACTCGTTCCGTTGCCTGCAACTCTGCATTCGAAGGTCGACTTCTGCCGCAAGAACGACGCCACCCGGCAGCAGATCCAGGGTGGGAGCGGCGTGCAGAAGCCCAGTCCTTTTGAGAGTCTGAATGCAAAAAATGCAATGCTAAAGGATTTTAGCATAAGTTAGCTCGGGCACTTGAGCTTTATCTCCTCAGCCTGCCAGCGGCTCACCAAACCAACCCCCCCCCCCCCCAAACCCCCCTAAACGCCCCTCAACCCTCCTAACCCCCCCCCCCCCTCCAGACCTCCCTAAACCACCCTAAACTCCCCCAAGCACATAAAACCCCGAAGCCCTAAAGCCTAACCGTCCTCTCACAAGCGTGCGACGAGGCTCCGGCACTGCGCTTCGTGAGGGGCGATGGCGCCGAGTCCATCAGCGACCAGCAGACTGGTATGGAAGGCGCCTCTCGAAGTGGGATTGAGGGTGTTTAGGGTCTTTGGGTTTTTTGAAGGTTGTTTTGGGGGTTTTTAGGGTCTTTTTAGGGCTTTGTGAGGGCTTTGTGAGGGCTTTTTTTTTGGTGTTTTTGAGGGTTCTTTAGGGCTTCTTGAGGGCTTTTTAAGGAGGAGAGGCCTCATTTTCCTTTCGAGTTGCTCCTCCTGCTCTGAGCAGGGATTCCACGTGCTCCGAAAGCTCTCCAGGCGTGTCCGAGCAAGTTCACTTCCCTTCGCCGCCGTCGCTTGGGCTTAAAGAACATATGAGCATAAATGCACAAATACATACTACATAAATAGAATTAAATAGATGACTAAATATGTATGTACTTACATGGTATAAATATGTATACATATATACATATATATATATATATGTAGGTATATGATATGAGTTTATGTATTTCTGTTTCTGCATGATGTGTAACATATTTGGCATAGTTCGAAACTATGTGTGCTGGAACGAACACTGTGCCTTGCAGACAGCCGCTTCAGGACGACACTGTGGGGCCATCGCCTCTTCGACTCGGAGGAATCCCAGCGCCCAGAGGGAGATTATGAGAAGCTAGGGTATGTTTTGGGGTCTGGGGTTTGGGGTTCGGGTTTAGGGTTTAGGGTCGCCCCATCCACACCCGTAAGCCCTGAAACCCTTAAACCCTCAAACCCCTTCTAAGCGATTCTCAAGAAACCTAAACCTTAAACTCTAAACCCCAAACTCCCAAACCCCAAGCCCTAAACCCTAAACCCTAAATCCCGAGGTGGAAGGTGGGCGATGAGCTCCTGCCCCCGAGTCTCCCCAGCGGCTGGAACTACGCCTTTCCGCCCTGCGGCCGCGGGAAGGGGTTTAGGGTTTAGGGTTTAGGGTTTAGGGTTTAGGGTTTAGGGTTTAGGGTTTAGGGTTTAGGGTTTAGGGTTTAGGGTTCCCGCCTGATGTCGCCAAGAAGCGGACCGCTAAACCCTCCGTTGGCTGAGGTCCTTTGCCACTGGCCTCTGCAACGCAAAAGTCCTGCGGGTGCAGCGGAAAGTGCCTTTGCCTGGTCAATGGCCTTCCTTGTTGGGAGCACCCTGAAACCCTGAAACCCTGAAACCCTGAAACCCTGAAACCCTGAAACCCTGAAACCCTGAAACCCTGAAACCCTGAAACCCTGAAACCCTGAAACCCTGAAACCTGAAACCCTGAAACCCTGAAACCCTGAAACCCTGAAACCCTGAAACCCTGAAACCCTGAAACCCTGAAACCCTGAAACCCTGAAACCCTGAACCCTGAAACCCTGAAACCCCGAAACCCTGAAACCCTGAAACCCTGAAACCCTAAACCCCAAACCCCAAACCCTAAACCTTCCTTGGTCCCTCGCAGCGGAGGTCCCCAGCAGGGTGGCCTGCGAGAAGCACCTTCGGCATTACTCCTCTCCCCCATTAAATACCCCCCCCCCCCCCCCTTGGGGTTTTAGGGTTTAGGGTTTTTGCCCCCCCCCCCCAGCCATACTGGAGGGTAGTTAATCTTAGTAGGGTAGGGGTGGGTGGGTTTCAATATTGGGGGGTTCCGATTACGGATCCTTCTTGCGTGCCCCTCGCTTTTTGGAGCTTTAGGGTTTTACGGTGTCGGGTTTGGGTTTAGGGTTTAGGGTTTTAGGTTTTATCGTTTAGGTGTAGGGTCTAGGGTTTGGACGGTCTAGGGAGTCTACAGGGTTTACAGGGGTTAGAGGGTTTAGAGGGTCTAGAGGGCTTAGAGGGTTTAGAGGGTTTAGAAGGTTTAGGGTTCAGGGTTTTAGGGCTTTAGGGTTCAGGGTTTGGAGGGCCAGGGTTTAGAGGTTTTAGGGTTTAGGGTTTTAGGGTTTAGGGTTTAGAGGGTTTAGATTTATGGGGCATAAGGTTTCGATGGGGCGATGCAGCCGTGTCACTGTGTGTCTGAGGAACTGCGCAGAGTCCACCTCGTGCCATTACTTCGCCTTCTCGTCAGGAGGCCTCATGGGTCCCAAACCCTAAGCCCCTAAACCCTGAACCCTGAACCCTAAACCCTAAACCCTGAACCCTAGGCAGCTTGGCGAGTCCTTGTCTCATATGTGCGAGGAGGCGAGTGCCGCTACTTCCCAGCCTGCGACCTCGATGGGACCGCTGCTGCTTTGTGGGCTGTGGAGCTTATGACTCGTCAGACGATGTCGGGTTTAGGGTTTAGGGTTTCGGGTTTAGGGTGTTGCCCGAAAATAGGGGTACCCCTTTTGGGGGTCCCTTGAAGGGGATTCTTTTCTATTTGGGGGTATAAAAGGGGTACCCCTATTGTGGGCAATGCCCATATAAGCATTGCCATGAGTGCCATTTTTTTGGAGGATGAACTCCACCGCCGATTTCACTACGTACAAGAAGACGCTCAGCTGCCGCTCGCTCGCAGAAGTTCGCTGTGCGTGTAGGGCAATGATGAAAGGACGTTGAAGTTATGGTTGAAGCCACGCAGACGGATTTCCGAAAATAGTGGCTCCCTCCTCTTTTGCAACACGCAGATCCTCAGTATTTTGGCATTCCCCCAGACAAGGGCAAGACCTCGTGAAACCTCCCAAAACCCTAAACCCTTTTCTTCGGAACCCTCCATCCCCACCCATATAGGTATTTCCCAGAACAGGGATACCCTTTTCATCCCCCAAATAGAACAGAATCCCTGAAAGGGACCACCCGAAACACCCATATCTGAAGCAGGGTTTTTCTTACTGTTATTGGTGAGTGTATATAAGGTTCCTTCCTAATGTTGGTGAGTGCATATACCGGGTGTCAAACCCTAAACCCTAAACCCTAAACCCTAAACCCTAAACCCTAAACCCTAAATCTTAAACCCTAAACCCTAAACCCTAAACCCTAAACCCTAAACCCTAAATCCTACTTCATATCCTGAGATATCTGGGAGCCCTGGAGGTGCCACCGCCATCGCCACGGCGGCCGAGTCCGCCCTTAGCCCGCCACTCCCGGGCTCGAAGACTCGCCACCAGTGCCAGGCCCTAAACCCTAAACCCTAAACCCTAAACCCTAAACCCTAAACCCTAAACCCTAAACCCTAAACCCTAAACCCTAAACCCTAAACCCCCTAAACCCTAAACCCTAAACCCTAAACCCTAAACCCTAAACCCTAAACCCTAAACCCTAAACCCTAAACCCTAAACCCTAAACCCTAAACCCTAAAAACCCTAAACCCTAAACCCCCTAGACCCTAGACCCTAGACCCTAAACCCTAACCCGAAACCCGAAACCCTAAACCCTAAACCCTAAACCCTGGACCTAGACCCTGGACCCCAGACCTTAAACCCAAAACCAGAGACTCCGACAGGTCGCGAGGTTGTTGTTTGTTTTTGTTTTTTTTTTTTTGGGGGGGTGGGGGGGGGGGGGGGGGTGGGGGACTTAGGGTTGATTTAGGACTTATAGGGTTTATACAGGGTTTTTTTGGGTTTACATAGGGTGTATATAGGGTGTATATAGGGTTTACAGGGCTTTTAGGGTTAAAGGGTTGAGGGCTTTAGGGCTTTGAAAGGAATTCTTAACCCTAAACCCTAAACCCTAACCCTAAACCCTAAACCCTAAACCCTAAACCCTAAACCCTAAACCCTAAACCCTAAACCCTAAACCCTAAACCCTAAACCCTAAACCCTAAACCCTAAACCCTAAACCCTAAACCCTAAACCCTAAACCCTAAACCCTAACCTAAACCCTAAACCCTAAACCCTAAACCCTAAACCCTAAACCCTAAACCCTAAACCCTAAACCCTAAACCCTAAACCCTAAACCCTAAACCCTAAACCCTAAACCCTAAACCCTAGACCCTAAACCCTAAACCCTAAACCCTAAACCCATAAATTCCCCGAAGCCCTAAACCCTAAAGCTGGCCCAGCTTCCAGGCGGCTTGCTCCTGGCAGGGGTCCTCGTTCACAGAGTGGAGCCTCCCGGCGCCAGGTTGGGGTTAATAAAACCCTAAACCCTAAACCCTAAACCCAAATCCTAAGCCCTAAACCCTAAACCCTAAACCCTAAACCCTAAACCCTAAACCCTAAACCCTAAACCCTAAACCCTAAACCCTAAACCCTAACCCCTAAACCCTAAACCCTAAACCCTAAACAAGTTAGTGGAGACCATTTCCATTGTCTAGCCATGCACCACCGCCTAGCACCCAAACCAGAACAACCTATGCCCCAACCTCAACTCCACCAAGAGACCCCGACCCAAGACCCAATGATACAAACCATAGTCTGGAACCACGCATACCGACGACACCCAACCCGGAACCCCTAAGCGTAGAAAGCACAAGTGGTCTTCTCCACTAAAATATCTACAATAGGAATAAGGTTAGGATTCAAGTCGGCTGGAACTGGGGTGTATGGTTTCCTTTGAGGATGGGACCGGACTCCCCCAGATCCCCAAACGTCAGGCCAAAGCTGCTACTAGCGAAGCCGACGCCGCAAAGAGGAGCCTTACCCCAAACCCTGAACCCTAAACCCTAAACCCTAAACCCTAAACCCTAAAACCTAAACCCTCAACCCTCAAACCTAAACCCTAAACCCTAAACCCTTGATGCGAGCTCAGGAAAGGATGCCGACGTCACTGTTTGCCGCTGTGGCTTCCCAGGCACCTCGTACCACCAGGCCTGAGACTGCCGTGTAAGGGTCCTTAAGGTGGGTTTAGGGTTTAGGGTTTAGGGTTTAGGGTTTGGGGTTTAGGGTTTAGGGTGTCCGAGACCCTATGCCCCTAAACCCCTAAACCTAAACCCTGAAACCCTAAACCGTTGGACCCTCGCCTTAAGGACCGTGTAGTGAAGTCTCCCCCCCCCCCCCCCCAAAGTGCGCAACACGGCCGCTTCGGAGCAGGTGCTGATCGACCGGGGTACCAACAGGAAGCCCTATGACAGTCATCCTGAGGCAGGGCGGTTCAGGGTTCAGGGCTTTAGGCTTTAGGGTTTCGGGTTTAGGGTTTCGGGTTTAGGGTTAGGGTTTAGGGTTTAGGGTTTAGGGTTTAGGGTTTAGGGTTTAGGGTTTAGGGTTTAGGGTTGGGATTTTTGTGGAACATAGTGAGCAGAGGTCATGCCCAGTATGGCCAGGGCCAGACGGGTGAGGATTGTCGGTTTCCGGTTCCAGGAAGCAGGCTAGCAGGCTGTTGCCCAGAAAGGCCAGCAGGACCCTGATCTACGAATCTAGGCACCGCAGGCCCACAGACCAAAAGTTCCATAGGTCTCCGAAGCCACAGGGACATCTTCCAAAAAAAGTAGCCTGAGTTGAAGAGTTGGGTTCCATGGGCATGACCGCAGAGGTCTCCCCTTGCAACGACCTCGATTCATGGAGCCACGGCTGGTGCGTCCTGGCCGCTTCGGCTGCAGCCACCTTCGCCTTTGATGACCAGAGTTGTCCCTGAGCCCTAAACCCTAAACCATAAGCCCTAAACCCTAAACCCTAAACCCGAAACCCCGAACCCTAAACCCTAAACCTTCGGACGTCTTAAGGAGATCTGCCCCTCCACGGAGGAGGCGACCAGCGAGACGGAGTTCTCACCCTTTGGCGCAGGCAGCCCCTCTAGAGTGGAAGTCTTCTTTTCTTAAGAGACAAGTCTCAACCCCCAAAATGCCCCCCAAAACCTCCAAATGCCCCAAAATGCCCCCCCAAATGGCCCCAAATGCCCCCCCCAAAATGCCCCCTCCCCCCCCCCGAAGGTGGCCACTGCAAAGAGGGGCTGCTGCGGAAGACGAAGGCCCTGCCCAGTGCCTTGTTCTGCATGGGTCCCCGCCCCCACCGCCAGCTTCCCCCGAAAGAGCCGCTTTTGCAGACATGCTCTCCTCTCTCATACCCCTTATTTAAGGAATATTCCTTAAGCCATTTTCAGGGTCCCTGTATAATTTCAGGTCTATTCCTTAATTAAGGAGTACTGGGCTGAGATCTCCATGCTCCCAAGGCATCGGCGGCTGCCAGAAGCTCTGCGAGCGGGAGGCGGACTGCCGCTACTTCTCCTACAATGAAGGAGGCCAGGTAAACCCTAAACCCTAAACCCTGAACAACCCTAATTCAACCCTAAACCCTAAACCCTAAACCCTAAACCTTAAAGCCTAAACCCTAAAGCCTAAACCCTAAACCCTAGACCCTAAACCCTAAAGTGAAATCTTTTGTCGGAACCTGCAAAAGCGCGTGTGACTTGCCTAGCTCAGCATTTGCTTTCCTTCCTCTCTTAGCGCCGCGCTGATCCTTCTCCCTCGCTTTGCAGGGACGGACACTTCTGAGTATGGCGCCTGTGTTCGCTACGCCAAGTGCCAGGACTCTGCTGTGAAACAGGATTTGCTTAAAGAAGTTCTGAAGGAGTTCTGAGGCGACTTTGAAAGAGGGCTGCCGACATCTACTGTACCCTGGCCCATGCACAAGCTAAAGATCGTGTATCGCAAATTTTTTGCTCAGGAGGAGTCGCTGGTCGCGCCTGGCAATACCATGTTTGCCACGTTCGCGTCGCTTGGCAGAAGCGGCCTGTTGTAGATAGGCAACGAGCTCTAAGGCTTTGCCAGAAGAAGATTTGGAAAGCTACGTCTACTTCATAAACCCTATAAACCCTTAACCCCAAACCTGTACACCCTATGAACCCTATAAACCCTAAACCCTATAAACCCCAATCCCTAAACCCTATACACCCTAAACCCTATAAACCCCAATCCCTAAACCCTATGCACCCTAAACCCTATAAACCCCAATCCCTAAACCCTATAAACCCTAAACCCCTGTAAACCCTAAACCCTGTCAACCCTAAACCCCAAAGCTTTCAACCCTTTCAACCCTTTCAACCCTTTCAACCCTTTCAACCCTTTCAACCCTTTCAACCCTTTCAACCCTTTCAACCCTTTCAACCCTTTCAACCCTTTCAATCCTTTGGACCCTTTGAACCCTTTCAACCCTTTCAACCCTAAACCCTAAACCCTAAACCCCAAACCCCAAACCCTCGGCCAGGAAGAGCTCCAAGGGCCGGGACAAGCCCCCTTCCTGGCGGCTCTTCACCACTTCGACCTTTCGCCGCGGGGCCAAGCAAGAGCGATTCTCGGCCCCGGAGAACTCCACCGAAGTTTCTCGGGGGCTTCGGGTTTGGGGTTTAGGGCTAGGGTTTAGGGTTCTAGGGGGTTTAGGGGCTTTAGGGGGTTCGTTAGGGCTCCAAGCAGATCTCTAACGCCGGACCATAGTCGTATCAGTTTTGCATCGGGTCTTCCTAGTAGTCCGGTTTCACTGGAAACCGTAAGCCCAAACCCTAAACCCTAAACCCTACACCGTAACACCCTAAACCCTAAACCCTAAAGCCATCACCCCCAAACCGCAAAGCCCTCAACCCTGAGGAAACTGCTGGAAAATCTCCAAGCTCCAGTTTTTCGATCCTTGTCTGCGATCAGATGTTGTTCCACCACACAGTCGCCTCTGAATCCCCATTAATAGGGTTTAGGGTTTAGGGTTTAGGGTTTAGGGTTTAGGGTTTAGGGTTTAGGGTTGAGTGTTTAGGGTTTAGGGCTTCGGGTAAATCATGAAGCATCCCTACACCCAAAACAATCCCGAAGCCCTAAGCTTCAAGCCCATGGTGGTCTCTTTTGGGGTCCTTGTAAAGAGGCGGCCCGTGCTATTTGGGGAGCCAAAAGGGAACCTGAAATTAGAGAAGACCCCATATCCCTGTTGACGGAGGCCAGCGAAGACTGCAGCTCATTGGAGTTTGGGTGGCCTGCTTGAACTGGACGTCACTGGCTCTTTGTAGGGGAGTCTGGGAATGTGGTTCCTAAGCCACAAGCCCTTCAAACCCGAAAAACCCAAACATCCCAAACTGATATGTGTCTTTGAGTCTATAGGGTTTATGGCGTTCAGGGCTTTTGGGTTGCTTATTGGTTCTGAGTAGGGAATCTGGGAATGAGGTACCCCCGTCCCTGTGCTATGGAACATGTTGTGCCTTGAAGACACAGGTTACCAGCTAATAATCAGATATTTTTCTTCCCCCTCTTTTGCCAACCATCTAAATAGTATTCTCCCCTTCAGGCGGGTAGGGGTCCCCGGCCAGGGACCCCGGGACCACGAATATAAAAGTAAATAGATAAATAGTAAGAAGAGAAGTGTACATATATATATATATATGTACAGATAGATAGATATAGATGGATAGATAGATAGATAGAGGGGAATATGTATCATACCTAATGCCCAACTTCCGGCAGCATGGTCTTGTTTCTGTTGACGCAAAGGATCGCACCTGGAAAGCAGATCGCAAGTGGCTTAGCCCAAGGCACGAAAGCGAACACATTTTGTGGGGGTAAGGCGCGGTGTAAGGGGGGTGAGGAGGGGGTAAGGGGAGGGGGGGCTCTGGTTTGTTGTTGAGTTTTCGAGCCCAGTTTGAGAGCTTGTTGGCAGGTTTCGACCTGAGCCACGTCTTCGGTCAGGACCGGGAATGTTGACCGCACGCCCCATGCGCAGCCCATCCTAAACCCTAAACCCCAAACCCTAAACCCAAACCCCAAACCCTAAATCCTACACCCTAAACCCTAAACCTACACCCTACACCCACAGCCAGGAGGGAACTGCGGCAGAGCTCCGCTCGGCTGATGGCGACTTCGGATCGAGCGAGGCGACATCTCCGCTTCCAAGTCCTCAGGGGGAGGGGGGGGGGTTAGGGTTCAGGGTTAGGGTTTGGGGTTTAGGGTTTCGGGTTTAGGGTTTCGGGTTTAGTGTTTAGGGTTTTCATGCGAAAAATCTAACAATATGTCAATATAGGGGTACACTTACTTCAAAACTATGGCAATCTGAAAATATGCTAACGTTCTCAATTACGGGGCGATTTGTTTGTGTAATATATACAACTCCGTATTGGGTTCGCATAGGGTTTAGGGTGTAGGCCTGAAGGTGCCCTAAAATATCACGATGGGACCCTCAAAGGGAGGGCCATCATGTCGAGAAACCCTAAACCCTAAACCCCAAACCCTAAGCCCTAAGCCTTGAGACCTCAACCCTAAACCCTAAACCCTAAACCCTAAACCCTAAACCCTAAACCCTAAACCCTAAACCCTAAACCCTAAACCCTAAACCCTAAACCCCTCTCGCAGTGTCTGTTGATTGGAGGTATGGATTGGTGCCCGGGAGCTGGGCGGCCGGGGCCTTTCTGCAGGGCACTTTTGCACTGAGGTTCTCCCCCCCTTCGGGTTTAGGGTTTAGGGTTTAGTTGCATATTCAAGTAGTATTTTCTCTCCTTAGTGCCTTAGTGTCGACGTTTTGCCGAAGCAGACATGTTATGCTCTTGTATTGCGTTTCTCTTATCTGTTACTTCGTTGCTCCCTTCTCTTGCTTCTTGCAGTCTGTTTCATAATCTATTCATGGCACATTTGGTGGAGGACTAAGCAATAAGGGTACCAGCTATGAAATTTCGAAGATTTCTCTTACTGTCCGACAAAATGCCGTTTCAAGGAAAGTGTTCCAGAGACGGAACGCAAAGAAAGGCGCACGAGAGCCAGTTCATTCGGGTTTTTGAGAGCTGTTACCTCCGGAAATAAGAAGAGCCTCATGATTCTTTGCCAAAAAGCATCATGAACAAGCTCTTGGCGGTGTCATTTGCTTGATACCATACCCTTTCTTTTGCTCTTCGTTCGCTTTGTTTCTTTCTCTAATGACCTTCGTGCTTTGTTCCTTTCTCTAATGACCTTCGTGCTTTCATTGCGAGTCTGTTAGAGAGAAGCGATGGAAGAAAGAACATTTGTATCATGTGTTGTAGGTCTCACCACGAGAAAGATCGCCAATCCTCTGAGGTGTCCGCTGCATCCGGTTCGAGCAGGATCCGCATAAGATCGATGGCTGGAAGGGCGTTTTGTGGCAGCTGAACAGTTGTCTACATCCCTTACTTGGCCTGCTGGGATGATAAGGGGACCCCTAGTATAGACCCCAAAATAGTAGGATCCCCTTATAAGGAGGACCCCAGGTAAGGCACCCCATATTTCTTAAACCCCCATGTCATCTGCAGGCTGCAGGCTAGAGCCTTTTCCGCTGTCAGGAGCCCTCCACCCCCGCCGGAGCCAAGCAGAGTGGCGTGGGCTGCCGCCCTCTCGCAAATCTGGAAGTGCAGCCGCTTGGATATTACCACGCAAGCCAAGAAGAACATAGTATATCTTTAGCATCTAAGCATAAGGATGCGCATGTGAGCCTCTAAACAGAAAGAGACATATATGTAGACACAGAACTGAACGTGGTTCAGTTCACAGTCCTGAATCGGGAGTGTCGTATTGTAATCCCTATGAAGGACTGTTAGCATAAGGGGGAACATCCCAATGTATGCATTCAAATCGTACTGCACGCAGCCTTTGTGTCTGTACAAACACTAAACCCTAAACCCTAAACCCTAAAAAAACCCTAAAAAAACCTAACAAACCCTAAGCCCTAAACCCTAAACCCTCAACCGAAAGCCCAGGATCGGAGACTTCGATGGGGGCAAATGGAAGACAGTGGCCTCCCTCCCCTGGAGCTTGAAGAAGGATGGGGTCCGCAGCTCAGTCGGCCGCTTCCGGTTCTTGGGGGTTTCGGGGTTCAGGGTTTAGGGTTGGGGGGTGTCAGGGGTTTAGGGGTTTAGGGGTTGGGTTAGGGTTTAGGGTTTAGGGTTTAGGGGTTAGGCTTTAGGCTTTAGGCTTTTAGGGTTTGGGGGTTTAGGGGTTTAGGGGTTTAGGGGTTTAGGGGTTTAGGGCTGCGCCTCAAGAAGCCCAAAGCCTGCCTTGTTTGTGAGGCTCGTGCTCGAAGCGCCTTTAGCTCACTGAACCGTCACATCTGGGTGCTGTAGTTGGCACTCCGGTCTGTCCACCCTGAACCCTGAACCCTGAACCCTGAACCCTGAACCCTGAACCCTGAACCCTGAACCCTGAACCCTGAACCCTGAACCCTGAACCCTGAACCCTGAACCCTGAACCCTGAACCCTGAACCCTGAACCCTGAACCCTGAACCCTGAACCCTAAACCCTAAACCCTAAACCCTAAACCCTAAACCCTAAACCCTAAACCCTAAACCCTAAACCCCCAACGCAATCCGAACCCAAGAGGTGAACACGTTCCCGAACTTGGACCGTGCCGCAGCGGCCGTCTTCACTCTCGATACTTCCTTGGCACCGCCCAAGGCAAGACTGAGCTACCTGTGACCCGCATGGAACCCTGAACCCCATAAGCCCCTTAGGTTTAGGGTTTAGGGGTTTAGGGGTTTAGGGGTTTAGGGGTTTAGGGGTTTAGGGGTTTAGGGGTTTAGGGGTTTAGGGGTTTAGGGGTTTAGGGGTCTAGGGGTTTAGGGGTTTAGGGGTTTAGGGGTTTAGGGGTTTAGGGGTTTAGGGGTTTAGGGGTTTAGGGGTTTAGGGGTTAGGGTTTGGGGTTTGGGGTTTAGGGTCTTAGGGTTATGGAGCCGAAGTCTCTGAATGGCACGTAGTGCGCATTGCCAGACTCTGACCTGCGTCTTCCAGATCAACGATCACCTCAAATCTGTCCTGCACCTGGGCTGAGGGTTTAGGGTTGTTTAAAGGTTTAGGGTTTAGGGTTTTAATGGTTTTTCAGGGTTTGGGGTTTAGGGCGTGCCCCTGCAGTCTGCAGATCGCTTAGGGTTTAGGCTTGGAAGTCTCTTTAGAGGGCCTCTGATATCCGCAAAGCTGTGAGCTGCTCGAGGTATGGTGGCGTGGATCTGATGTCGCTTGCCGGGATGGGCGAAGGTCGGCTGCGATTCCCCCGGGCTTGGGTTTAGGGTTTAGGGTTTAGGGTTTAGGGTTTAGGGTTTAGGGTTTAGGGTTTAGGGTTTAGGGTTTAGGGTTTAGGGTTTAGGGTTTAGGGTTTAGGGTTTAGGGTTTAGGGTGATTTCTGCTACATGGGCCCTCAATTTGTATAGGGGATGTAAGGGGTATATAAGGGGCACCCCTTTGAAGGGTCCAGACTAAGGGACCATGTAACTACCCTTAGGTGATTGCGCGCCAGGAGACTCCGAGAAGATCCGTGTCGTCAGCTTCTCCGTGAAGCCAGGCGTGCGATGGGTTTATAGCTCAGGGCCTTGCAAGAGGCGTGGTTTCACGGCGTTGGAGCCCTCAAGCAATTACTTTCCGGGCAGGCGCCTACCTCGTGATCACTGGTGAAGATGCAGAGGCTTCTGTGCTTGTGGCGGTTGTGCGGTCATTCTCGCAAGTTGCACACTTGCGCAAGCAAAGCATCCCTGTGTTGCAGGGGGATTTCCATGACACGGGCGGGTTCTGGGCGGACTGTGGCAGCGTCGCCCCGGGATCGTCACTTGATGGCACGTTTTCGTTAGGCTCAACTGGAGGCTTGCCCCCCGGAAATCGTTCCTGAAATTGATGGCTGCAGGTTGTATGAGCCTACGACGTCTACGATACAGTTTCTTTGGGCTTTAAGGCCCAAGGGTTCAAGGGCATTCTCTTAAACGGCTTCAGCCCGAAACCCCAAAGCCGGAACGCCAAGCCTTTCCGGAAAAGGCCCTTTAAACCTCGGCCCCTAACCGACAAGCTTAGCTCGAAATCCCCATTGGCTGAGGGAGCTCCAGAGCAGATGGGAGCTCTACTGTAGCAACAGCAAGATTGATGCCGCTTGGGTTGCGGTGAGCTCATGTCGCCTTTTGCATGTTTTCTCACGCGTGCGCATGACGCGCGCTGGAGTGCGAAACCCTAAAACCTAAACCCGAAACCCTAAACCCTAAACCCTAAACCCTAAAGCAACAACCCGAAACCCTAAACCCTAAACCCTAAAGCAACAACCCTAAACCCTAAACCCTAAACCTCATGAGGTGGCTCACCGAGAAGGTGCCGGAGCAGGCTGGGTGAAGCCTGGCCCCAACAGCTACAAGGCGGGTCAGAGGGGCTCGCAGAGTTTTCAGAGAGTTTACACGCAGCCAATGGGGTTTAGGGTTAGGGTTTAGGGTTTAGGGTTTGGGGTTTAGGGTTTAGGGTTTAGGGTTTAGGGCTTAGGGTTTAGGGTTTAGGGTTTAGGGAAACATCATGTGTGCTTTTCACAAGCTCCCGAATGCAGGCGAAAGCCAAGCGTATCTTCGGGGCAGACAAGGCCAGACTAAGCTGCCTCAGACGAGTAGCAGTCAGCATCCCTAAACCCTAAACCCTAAACCCTAAACCCTAAACCCTAAACCCTAAACCCTAAACCCTAAACCCTAAACCCTAAACCCTAAACCCTAAACCCTAAACCCAAACCCCCTAAACCCTAAACCCTAAACCCTAAACCCTAAACCCTAAACCCTAAACCCGAAACCCGAAACCCTAAACCCTAAACCCTAAACCCTAACCCTAAACCCTAAACCCTAAACCCTAAACCCTAAACCCTAAACCCTAAACCCTACACCCTAAACCCTAAACCCTAAACCCTGCACCCTCCTGTCTTCTAGTGCGAAAACAAATCTTGGAGGCCTCCATTGGCTCAGAAGGAGCCCGCTATTGCTCCTTCCGTGCCTGGACATCAACTCGGCCTGAAGATCGGCCCTGGAGAGCCATATATGGGGGTTTCCGAAATTGGGGATACCTTCTTGGGGTCCTTAAACCCTGAACCCTAAACCCTGAGCGCTAAGCCCTAAACCCCCCCCCCCCCTAAACCCTAAACCCTAAATCCTAAATCCTACTATTTGGGGATTATATTAGGGGTCCCTTACTTTCGTACACCCCCCATGTTTGGCCAGGGTTCATAGCTTCCAACCTATCCGTGTGGATGCTCCTGAAACGGCGGCCGCGCGTCATTGGGATGGTGGGGTGAGAGGAGGTGAATGGGCGAGACGTAATATTAGGGCCGGAGTAATTACTAAGAATAACATTCCCTTATGGCCCCTGTGTATCCAAAACCTTATTGAAATAAGAATATTCCCTTATGGCCCCTGTGTAAATACACTATAATAACCCCCCCCAAACCCTATTCTAATTATTCAGGCCCCTATATTCGCCGAGGTATGCTGCCCAAACCCGCGATCAGCTTCCGAACTTTGCGCTCCAAAGGCAGCGAGGTTGCATGAGTGGACTTTGTGCAGTCGGGGTTTAGGGTTTAGGGTTTAGGGTTTAGGGTTTAGGGTCTAGGGTTGAGGTCCTTAAGCCTCATACTCCTGATGTTTCTCAGCCTCCCAGCCGCCCCCCGGCAAGGTCCTTTGCGAAGCGCATAGAATACTCCTCAGTTCAAGAGCGCAGCATGCTGTACCTGCCAGCCTGTTCCGTGGAGGCCTTTTTGGTCATGTCGAGCTGAACATGGAGGAGCCTTTTGGGAGCTTCATGGCATTTATAGCACGTGGGAAGACCCGAGAGCCCTGAAGGAGTTCAACACGCGCTTCCGAGATGCGGGCACCGGCGACCTGGCTGATATTACGGCATCGCACCACCGAATCGAGCCGAATCGAAGGGATCATTGCATGGGTTTAGGGTTTAGGGTTTAGGGCTTAGGGTTTAGGGTTTAGGGTTTAGGGTTTACTTCTTGGCCCTCGCACTTCGATCCTGCCGGCGTCTCTGGGACACCTTCGCACCAGGTATCCTTCGGCGAGAGTGTCAGGACTGCGCTGACAGCCACAAGAAGATTTACATGAGGCACCCGGGTGTCTGCTCAGATGGCGAAACCCTGAACCCTAAACCCTAAACCCTAAACCCTAAACCCTAAGCCCTAAACCCTAAACCCTAAACCCTAAACCCTGAAGAAAGGCGCAAGAAGGGCCTGGACACCTGGGACGCGTATGGCGGAATCGTGGCCACCTGGTCGGAGCAAGGCGATGAGGGTGTCGTCAGTCAGTAGAGTCCCGTCTGGTACTACTATACAGTAAGCTCCAGAAAGTTGGAACGTGATTATCCCAATACCGTTAAGGTAAAGCAGAGGGACACCCAGCACTAATCATCCTAAAGCTCGTGTTCAAAATTTCTGGAGTTCACTGTAGAGTGCGTGAGCCCGGAAGACTTGGGCGAGACCAACAGTCGTGGGCACACTTCTGCAGAGTTCTGCAGTCTGCAGGACTCCACACGGACTTCGACTTGTACTCAACGCTGCAGGCCTGTCCGAAGAAAACTTGCTCCAGCAGCGCAGAAGAACAGGGTTTAGGGTTTAGGGTTTAGGGTTTAGGGTTTAGGGTTTAGGGTTTAGGGTTTAGGGCTTTAGGGTGCATCTGCCATTGCAGGATGCTCTGGACGATCGGAACTCCTGGCTGAGATGCGATGGCGTCGGCCAGGACGTGGGCTTTCCCGGTATCGTGGCAGCTTAAATAGGGTTTAGGGTTTAGGGTTTAGGGTTCAGGGTTTAGGGTTATAGGGTTATAGGGTTTAGGGTTCAAGGTTAAGGTTTAGGATTACGCTCCACATCGGCTGGAAACTAAGGCAATTGCGCGCCTGGTGAGGCGGGAGAGGTGTAGCATGAAGCATGGGCGCGACATGGCTCATGAGTTTTGAGCACCCTAAACCCTAGATCCTAAACCCTAATCCCTAAACTCTAAACCCTAAACCCTAAACCCCAAGCCATGACAAGCCTTCTTTCCAGGGTTTAGGTTTCAGGGTTCAGGGTTTTAGGGTTTAGGTACAGCACCCTTAAGATAAGGACCGCAAAATAGGAACCCCAATTTTAGAGAACCGCCCAAAGTAGGAAAGGCCCCCAAGCCGCCGTGGTGGCCTCGGAAGGTGCCGACGGAGCCGCAGTGGACGTCCCTGTCGCCGGGGTCCGGACGCCAGAACTACGAGTACGCTGCCTACCAGGCACGGTTTAGGGTTTAGGGTTTAGGGTTTAGGGTTTAGGGTTTAGGGTTTAGGGTTTAGGGTTTAGGGTTTAGGGTTGAGGGTGTACGCTGCCTACCAGGCAGGAGACACGTCGCAGCTCTTTGAATAAATTTCTCTCACTGGTGTTTCTTAAGACCCGATGTCAAGCCTAAACCCTAAAAGACGAACAAGCCTCCTAAACCCTAACCCTCAACCTAAACCCTAAACCCCCAAACCCTAAACTCTAAACCCCTGAACCCTAAACCCCTCAGCCCTAAACCCTAAGCCCCCAAACCATCCCAAACCTCAAAGCCCACCCAGAGCTCCCTAACGCCAGGTCGGTGAACGGAACGTCATGAACTTTGCTTTCCATGGGGACGGCCTCTGCAGCCCCCTGGTTGCCGCATTTTTTGAGAGAAGTTGGTCCTGACTAAGTAGAGACCCGCCCCCATGTAATCTTTACTAAACAGGAACCCCCTCCCAAAAGGGCACCGGCCCTAGTTTCGGGACCCCCCTCCCCCAGTTGATGCAACCCTAAACCTAAACCCCCCCCCCCCCCGCCAATTTGATGCCTTCTGTGACGAACCGGCTGGCGAGGTGGCGTGCCGTTGCGCTCTGCTCTGGGCGTCGAATCGGCGGAGGCGAGGGCCTTCTTTTTGTGAACATTGGGGTTATGGTTTAGGGTTTAGGGTGTAGGGTTTAGGTTGCCTTTTCCTTGTAGCTTTCCACGAATGCGCCGGGGGTTGCAATCTTCGTCAAAAGGGGCATGTGGATGGGCAAGTATGCTCACGGGTTAGGCCTTAGGCCTCGTCCGTCCGGCGAGCTGGGGTAAGCTTGAGTGTCGAGTGCTCCACCTGCACAGACCCTAAACCCTAAACCTTAAACCCTAAACCCAAAACCCTAAACCCCAAACCCTCAATCCTAACCATCGTCCCCCAAACCCTTCTTGAGAAGCGTGAGGCCTGCCAGGAGCTCTGTGCTGAGGAGGAGGAGAGGGCTGGTGCTCAAACAGGTCAAAAATCGGTCCCAAATGGCGGGCTTAGGGTTTAGGGTTTAGGGTTCAGGGTTTAGGGTTTAGGGTTGCTTGCACGTCCCCATGACACGTGCCGCTGGAGGACTGCGTCTACGTTAGCCATGGCGACCCAACAAGTTTGTCCTGCTCCTTGGCATAGGATTGCTCGGCATCGATCTACTGCATCTGTGGCTCCTTGATGATGTGATGGAATACCAGGATGGGCGATTAGGCCTTATAATCCGCAGAATCGACCCTACAAAGGGCGTTTAGAAGGGATTCGAAGGTATGATAGCCCATCCTGGTATAGTGCTCCAGGCACGCAATTTGGTGGGGCTGCCTGCTCCTCGCTCCAGTTCCCCGCCTGCGACGCGCAGAGCTGCGGTTTCCAGACCTTCGCGAAGCAGCGCGACGACGCTCAGGCAGAACAAAACTCAGGATTTGGATTTGCTCTTTCAAGGCGCGCCCCCCTTCTTCATCGAGTCATTGCTGTCATTTTTGTTTCCTGCCCCTTGTTCCGCTGCGCTGTGTGGTGCTCTGCTCCCCAACCACCCCCCCCCCCCCTCCTCCGCCAACAGGCGCTGAGAGAGCGATTGCTTGGCCAAGGGACCCAGAACAGCTTGCAGCCTCAGAGGCGCACTGACGCATCGCATCCATCCCAGGATCGCGTCAACTGTGACTTCGTGCTAAACGATGAGATCGACTCAGTCCGAAGCCCAGCCTTCAAATGAAATGAAGAAGGTGCAGAGCAGTAATAAGTAGAGCATTGCGGAACAACTGCTGGCAGCCTCCGCACACAGCACCAGCTTTCGCGCCCACCGGGCGCCCAACTTGGGCGCCCAAATGCGCCCAACGCACCGCGACGTGCAGGTCTTCTATGGCGTGGATGTAACGGACCTCGTGATGCCAACTGCGGATGCGGCCAGCCGGCTGGGCGTCGTCGCGAAGCCAGGCCGGGAGAGCCAACCGCCACCTTTTCAGTCCCCATGGCACCTCCCCAGGTGAGTACCTCATCATCACTGGCCACAGCAAATCCGGGGACATGAAGTTCCGAGGCGGGCTGTCCTCAAAGAACACCCCTGGACCCTAAACCCTACACCCCAAACCCGAAACCCGAAACCCTAAACCTTAAACCCTGGAACCTGAAAGCCTCCCAGCAACTTCCGACTTCGGAGCCTACTCAGCAGCCCTGCAGTGATCCACCCTATCAGACAGAGGTTTTTTAAGGCCTGCAAACCCCAAGCCATCCTAACCCCTAACCCCTAACCCCAAACCCTAAACCCGAAACCCTAAATCCTAAACCCTAAACCCTAAAACCTAGACCCCCTGAGCCCCCCCTCCCCCCCTCCCTGTGTGGGGGGATATTCTCAAGAGGTGGGTTCTGGGCCGACTGCGGCGCAGCGCTGCCGCCAAAGAGCTTGGATGAGCTCTGGGACTCCTTCTGCTCAGAGCCCCGGCGAGGGAACAAGGAGAGAGAGGGAGAGAGAGAGGGAGTGAGAGTCTAGATTGGGCGCTCTTCCCTGGACTCCATGCCCTGCAGCAGAAGAAGCAGAAGAAGCAGAAGAAGCAGAAGAAGCAGAAGAAGCAGCAGAAGAAGAAGAAGAAGCAGAAGAAGGAGAAGAAGAAGAAGACGAAGAAGCAGAAGAAGAAGAAGAAGAAGAAGAAGAAGAAGAAGAAGAAGAAGAAGAAGAAGAAGAAGAAGAAGAAGAAGAAGAAGAAGAAGAAGAAGAAGAAGAAGAAGAAGAAGAAGAAGAAGAAGAAGAAGAAGCAGAAGAAGAAGAAGAAGAAGAACAAGAAGAAGAAGAAGAAGAAGGATAAGAACAGGAAGAAGAAGAAGAATAACAAGAATAAGAAGAAGAAGAAGAATAAGGAGAAGAACAGGAAGAAGAAGAATAACAAGAATAATAAGAAGAAGAAGAAGAATAAGACGAAGAACAAGAGTAAGAGGAAGAAGAAGCTGAAGCTGAGGCGAGGGTTCGGGTGGTTCCCTTTTGTTTTCTGGCTTCTTTTCAGAGGCAAGGCACCCCCGAGTGTAGCTGTTGTTGAGTGGTGCTCTTGGTGAGGGTGAGGTGTGGGGTCCAAGTTACGGGGGAAGCAGCTGAGAACCCATGCCTTACATGATGGGCCTTACATGATGGGGCAACCCATACCCAAGGACAACGAGAGAGAGGTGCTTTCTTGCTCGGTCTCCTTTGCTTTCCCTTCCCTTCCCTTCCTTTCCCTTCCTTTCCATACCTTTCCGTTGTTTTTTCTTTCCTTTTCCTTCTCCTTTCCTTCTCCTTTCCTTCTCCTTTCCTTCTCCTTTCCTTCTCCAACAACCATGCCACGAATGACGACTTCGTTTGAGCTCTCCCCGTGGATGTGGAGGGTAGTTGCAGTCTGCAGAATGCTTTTCAACATGCCATTTTCTGTTAGAGGAATGTATTATTTCATCGGACATGACTTGGGATGTGTCCCCCGTTATACTCGCAGTCCTTAATGGGGACGAACATCGGGGGGTACAAATAGTCCGAAATGTGCTGAGGACACGGAGATTGATGAGATCCACCGGCGCGGTGGTGGGTCAGGCTGGAGGCCTCCCATGGTGAGGAGAGCCAGGGGGGGAGGGGCAGAAAGCGGCAGCAGTGTTTAGGGTTTGGGGTTAAGGTTTAGGGTTTAGGGTTTAGGGTTTAGGGTTTAGGGTTTAGGGTTTAGGGTTTGGGGTCTAGGAGGGATTTAGGGCTTAGGCTGCGGGGTTCTGGACTTAGGCTTGGGATGTTTGCCCTTTTCCTAACCGTCCTTACTAGGGATGAAATAGGGGGGGTACAACAGTGAGGGGTTTGAAGGATGTAGGGTGAGTCTTTAGGGTTTCAGGATGAAGGTTGGGATGTTCCCCCTTATACGAACAATCCAAAATAGGGATTATAGCACCCCCTATGAAACCCTAAACCCTAAACCCTAAACCCTAAGCCCTATAATCCCCATTAAGGACTGCTAGCATCGGGGGTAACATCCCAAGATTTAGGGGTTCTTTACAAGTGGAGGTATAGGGTTTAGGGTTTAGGGTTTTTGGTTATTAGACTCGGTACAGACTTTTCTGGTGCAGTAACGCATATCCACAGTATGTATGTAGACCGAGACTACCAGCCTTTTGCCAGAAGAATAAGCTTCAACCGTTGAGCTTGGCAATTTGAAGTTTGGTTTTTTTGTGTCCGCCTGTAACTAGGAATAGTTTGGAGCATTGCCCTAAGCCCCAAAGCCTTAAACTCTAAACCCTAAACCCTCAAGCCTAATCCCCAAACCCTATCGAGACATACCCATTAGAGGACCGGGGGGGGGGGGATCAACCTAAACTCTAAACCCTAAACCCTAAACCCTAAACCCTAAACCCTAAACCCTAAACCCTAAGCCCTAAGCCCTAAACCCTAAACCCTAAACCCTAAACCCTAAACCCTAAACCTTGCGTTGAGCCAGCAGGAGCACCGGCCAGGTGGCGTTTCCCAAGACGCTGGGAGACGACGGGATGCGCTTTGGATGAGAAACCCTACGGGAAGTCTTAAATCCTGACCCTGCACCCTAAACCCTAAACCCTAAACCCTAAACCCTAAACCCTAAACCCTAAACCCTCAACCCTAGACCCCTGTGGATCATGTCACCTCAGCTGCTGCGAAGACTCAGGAAATATTGCGCTTTCCGGGCCGTGCCGGCCAAGATTTATCCCATCTGGACCAGCGCTTGGAGCCTCTGGCTGGTGGTGGGATTTTGCCAAGTTGGGGTTTAGGGTTTAGGGTTTGGGGTTTGGGGTTTGGGGTTTAGGGTTTGGGGTTTAGGGTTTGGGGTTTAGGATTTTGGTTTAGGGTTTGGGGTTTGTGGGTTTGGGGTTGCGGGGTTTGGGTTTCGGGGTTTTTGGAGTTTCAGTTAGATGGGTCCTTGCCTATTTAGGCGCATGGCACTCAGATGGTGGTAGGCATTATTCCTCGGATGGTAGCTTAGGTTGGGATCTTTGGGTGGCTGGGTGGTGCCATACGCTTAAGTAGGCAACGTATCATCGAATTTAGGTGGTGGTTCAACCCTAAACCCTGAACCCTAAACCCTAAACCCTAAACCCTAAACCCTAAACCCTAAACCCTAAACCCTAAACCCTAAACCCGGCCTACCTCGTCACCGGCCCTTAATCCTAAGCCCAAAGCCCTGAACCAAGGTGCAAGAGTGCAACAATCTTTGACAACTGGCCGGGTGGTGCCGGTGAGTACGAGACGGTGGCCTGTATGAACGATTTGCCTGCAATAATATATATATATATATACATATATAACTTAATACAATATGAATGTATGTGTATGGATATTTATACAAATATACATATGCATATATATATACACACAAATAATAAATGTTTATAATATTTCACGGCTTTGGGTGGACAGTCGACTTCACAGCCGCTTTCGGACCCTGGGGCGAAAAAGTGTCAACGGAACAACCATAGGTCCTGCAGACATGAAGTGCTCAGTGTAACTACTGTATATAAAAAACTACTACACACCAAAAAGTACAAATCCATATGCATACATGTAAATATTATCGATAAATCGGTCAAAATAACCATAAACTCAACAAAGAAGGAAATAAATGAATAAGTAGATGAACAGGTATATATATATATGTATATATACACATATCTGTGTGTGTGTGTGTGTGTGTGTGTGTGTGTGTGTGGGTGGGTGTGTGGGTGTGTGTGTGTGTGTATGTGTGTATGCAAAGGCTTTTGCTTGCAGCTCCGCCTGCTCTCTGGACGAGAGATGCCGATTTTTCGGCTACGGGCAGGAGCCGTGCCTGCGGGGGGACAAGAACTCTCGTGACTTAGTGTTGGCTTAGTAGGGAATGAGGGATTGAGGTACCCTATGTAATCCCTTAAAGGGTATCTATATATGTATATATATATATATAGGGGGACGTAGGGTACCATTGCCTCATTCCCTACTAAGCAACAGTAAGATGATTCTCCGGTGGAGTATTGGGTTTAGGGGTTAAGGGTTTAGGGTTTTGGGTTAAGGGTTTAACAGACTTCCATGATTTCAGGGGTTAGGGTTAGGGGTTAAGGGTTACGGGCGAAGGGTTTGAGGTGTTTAGGGGGACGGCAACGGGCGGAAAAAGGGTGCTCTTGTTTGGTCCACTGCCCACACGAAGCTTCGGAGAAGGACTCGCGGGCTTCGTTCCCTCGCTGCGCCTTCTTTGAGACCTGCCGAGATCGGCGCCCCTATCCGAAACTTGGTTGCATCCATGAGAGGGTGTAGTGTCATGCGACCCCTTGGATCTTGCAGTAGCATGCAGCCCTAAACCCTAGACCCTAGACCCTAAACCCTAAACCTTAAGCACGAATCCTGCAGCATTCTGACTCCGTGCCAGGCAAGGCGACATCCACGTCTACAAGGCGCGCTTGACATGCCAAGTAGCCTGATTCCAGAGGACCTTCGAGCCACATATTATATGATCATTATAAAGCTTCTGCCCTAAATCCCAAACTCCCTGAACCCTAAACCCTAAACCACTTATGCCCTGAACTCGCTAAGCCCTTGAAAGCAAGGTTCCTCCCCCCCCCCCCCCCCCCTCCGCGATTCCCGAGGCAGAGGAGGTGCGTACGGAGCTGCGTTGCGCCTTTAAGCCCAGTGCGGCTGGCAAGAGGGGCATCTTCTATGGAGCGTGCCTCGCCATCTGCACGAGACTTCTCCGGCCATTTTGTGTATGCGTGTATATGATACATACATTATTTACAATACACTTAAATATTTGTTTAAACATGTGTAAGGATGCACTTCTTTTTACTCTGTGTGTATACATATATATATACGTATATATGTAGACGTGTTTCTATATATGTCTATATATGTACATATATGTACATATGTATTGTATCTTCGCATAGAGTTTTTTGTTCCAAGTGGACATGTCGCATGCTTTTGTCATGGATGTGACTTAGCAGGTACATTCCCCAGGCAGACACCGTTCACATCACCGTCAGGCCAGATTGCGTTGCGCTTCCAGCCCTTGCCAGCAACAATGGTAAGTTGCCAGCAACAATGGTAAGAAACATAGGTCCGTGATGCTGGTGTGGCCGCAGCCAACGGCAGCCAATTAAGTGAACGATTGAGTTCGCACGATGTCGCGCGCAGGCCTGGATCGTACTTGGTCTTCTTTGGCCCAGACCTGGGCCGTTCCTTGGTGTTGAAGTGCCTGGCAGTGGCTTCTCATGCGCAGCTCATGCCCAATTGTCAACTCCCCAGCTTGGTTTTCAACTCGCGCCAGGTGGCTTCTGGGCCGACTGTGGAGCACTAGCACCGCGCAGCACCATGCAGGACAGCGCCGGTCCAGAGATGTTGAGGGGGTGACTGATGGGAGACCTGACCCTAGGGTTTAGGGTTTTGGTTTAGGGTTTGGGGTTATCCGGCGCATGTTGCAGAACCCTCGACGACTTGACCACAGTGAAACCTTACCTGAACACACGCCAAATAGCTCCTCTTCGAGCGATACGTGCTTTGCAGGATGCCTGGGAAAGCTTCTGCTGCTTGGATGCGTGGAGAATGTTCGAGAACTGACCTTGTGCCCTGGTCTGCGATTGTGAGGTGACACGAGCTTGGACACCGTGCACAAGATGGGTGCAGGTTGCCTGGGATGAAGTTGATGCCTTCTCTGCTGTCTCACGTTGGTGATGCAAAGGTCTGGCCGAGAATTCCAGTCATGTGCATGTGGTCAGGAGGTCATGCGCATTGTGCTTGACCTGCTGCACTTCCTGCCGTTTTTTCAGCAAAGACCAGCCTTTGCGCGCCATGCAGTTGACTCAAGTTACCTTCAGAGGCACTGGCTGGCGGACGCCAAACCTCTCAGCGGACGACGAGCTCGTCGGGTACGATGGCAAGGAGCCGGGACGAAGTTCGGGTGCAAGGCATGCCAGGCGTCGTCCCTGCCTGAGACATCCTGAGACCTCGGCGTTGCGAGTTCCCCCGTAGTGATTGTTTGCAGGAGCACTGCGCCTTCAGGCTCAACCCGCATGCCCTCCAGTTTGCACCGAAGGCGACACTGGGGTGCAAGTTCCCTAAATTAGCTGCAGCGTGTCCTTCCGTAAGTGCGGCGGCCCAAGCAGATGCCGCTCGGAACCCTAAACCTTAAAGCCTATAAACACCATAAACCCCACAAACCCCTGTAAACCCTGTAAACCCCATAAGCCCTACAAGCCATAAACCCTAAACCATAAACCCTAAACCCTAAACCCTAAACTCTAAACCCTAAATCCTAGACCCTGAAGAAACCCTAAACCCTAAAGCCTAAACCCTGAACCCTGAAGAGCAGGTTGCCACCCAGCCACCGGAGCCGACCTACAAGAAGGCGCGAATCGCAAAGCTGGACATGTTCGGTGCTCCCAAGCCCGGACAAGTGCACGAAGCCGCCTAGCACAACATGTCCCATATATATAGATATATATACACATGTACATACATATGTATATATATATACATACACATGTACATATGGATGCACAGAAATATGTATATATACATATGTGTATGTACATATACATGGTGCCACCCCCCCCATGTACCTTTCTTTTGTTATTATGATTACCAGCAACGTCTTTATGTTTAGGGTTTGGGGTTTAGCGTTTGGGGCTTAAGGTTTCAGGTTTCGGGGCAGCGGCCAGCAGATTCTCAGGTCGATGATGAACCCTAAGCCCGCAACACCACATCCTGACACCGTAAACCCTCAACCCTAAACCCTAAACCCCAAACCCTAAAAACTACACCCTAGTTCTGATGTTGCAAGGCCCTGGACGCTGGCCAGCGCTGGCTGAGGGGACCGGCAGGGGAGGAGAGGGAACTCTGATGCCTTCTGTCCTTTAGAGTTTGGAGTTTAGAGCTTAGGGTTTAGGGTTTGCAGGGCTGGGGTCTTCCTCCTTATACTAGCAGTCCCTTAATAGAGATTATAGTCCCCCTAATATAATCCCTATTAAGGACTGTTAGTAGAAGGGGGAACATCCCAATCTTCTGTTTCTTTAGAGTTCGGGGTTTGCAGGGTTTTTGCAGGGTCTAGGGCTTAAAGGGCTGAGGCCTTAGAGTTGAGAGGTTTTCCTTGGGTTTAGGGTTTGGGGCTTGCAGACGAATTCTTCAATCTGGCTGTTTCTTCACGTCTCGGGACCGGTCGATTCCGTGCCGGCGCGCAGGAAAGTGATGCTCCTGGCGGAGAAGGTGGGGGGAAGTGTATGAGTGTTCGGTGCAGCAGTGGCATGGTAGATACTTTCCGAGGATAATCTGCGTAGGGCGCGCCCTCCTGCACTTTAGAGTCAGAGACCTGCCAGATGTGTCAGGGAACCAAATGGAACGATGGCCTCACTTCTCACGAACATGACGAGCCCTCATGCGACAGGCGCATACCTCAGCGGCGAGTACGAAGCATCCTGGATGCATGGGAACGTGCAGTCGAGTTGTCCGGCTCGGTTTCGCACGACTGTGGCGCTTGATGTCGGCCTACAGTCATGCCCTAAATCGCTGCACCCCCCAAACTGTTTCCCATACGAGCGCCAGACCACGGGATCCCTAAGTTAAGCTGAAGTCCCCAAGAAGGCCTCACCGACACCCTTCAAGAGAGGCTGCGAAAACGTTGCGATCCCCAGGGGCCCTCGTAGTGAAGCGGCGGAGCTCTGCAAGTCCTCAAAAAGGCATCTGCCGGTGTGCCAATGCAGGGTTTATACTACTGTTTCTGGTGAGTGTATTTAAGGTTCCTTTTTCATATCGGTGAGTGTACATATTGGGTGTCCTCTTGGGGATACAAGGAATATAAGTCCTTCTTCATGTGTGCCAGTGCCCTAAACCCTAAACCCTAAACCCTAAACCCTAAACCCTAAACCCTAAACCCTAAACCCTAAACCCTAGACCCTAGGTGCAGATGAATCGGTCTCTGGAACAATGCCAAGCACTGTGCAGTGATCGACTCTGGGCTGAATCTTAGGGGTTTTAGGGTTTAGGGTTTAGGGCGTAGGGTTTAGGGTTTAGGGCGTCGGGTTTCGGGTTTAGGGCGTGGGGTTTCGGGTTTAGGGTTTAGGGTTTAGGGGGCGGTCGCGAGGCGTCGGCCCGAAGAAGGGGAAACGCGCCTGTTTGTGAGGCGGCTGGTGCCTGGGCTTCAACTACAAGCACTCGGACGACTATCAGACTTTGAGAGATTGGAAGGCGCGCTGAGCGCCTCTTCGCCTGAGACTCATGCCAGGGATCGTCACGATGTCGTTAAGTGGATTTCCCCGGTCTGAGCCAGGCGTGCGCTGCTTTCTCCAACGTAGGGTTTAGGGTTTAGGGTTTAGGGTTTAGGGTTTAGGGTTTAGGGTTTAGGGTTCACCTACACTGCCCTCCTTGCCTGCCGTAGGTGGGCACCTGCCAGCTGCTGAGCAAGCTCCTTTCTACAGACACAGGCCTCTGGGGACATCTTGAAGGTTGCATTTTTTTTCGTCGATGTTCAGCTCCCTTCTTCAACTTGTGGGTGAATGCAAGCATGGGTTCGCGCTCCCCCCCCCCCTTTTTTTGGTTTTTTGAGAGTTTTTTGTGGCAGTGGGGGGTCGTGCCTTCATCCTGCGTTTGAAGCGGCAGCTTGAAGCTTAGGGTTTAGGGTTCGGCGGTCCTTTGCATGACGCCGTTTTAATAACCAAGTCACTGTGTCTTGGGTGTGAAACAGTTCTTCCGGGCACGGTCTTTTACATGCGAAGTCCGCCCTCCCCTGCGAGATGTGACAAACGTCGACGCCTACGAGAAGACAGGTGGCTCGGAAGTTAGGGATTCTGGAGGGTTCACAGGAATTCAACATCCAAGCTACGTAACATTGAAGGGCTCCATGCTCGCCTTGCAGCTACCTGATATTCGTTTCATGAACTGGGGGTTTACAATAATTATTGGGGTCCTTACAATAAGGGGATCCCACTATTTCGGGGTCTACATGACGGGTCCCTTAGTATGGAAAACCCCCGACTAAATGCTGCGGCTATGCCAATGCAGTACTAAGCGGCAGGTTTGGTGACCAACGCGCCCACGCCACTGGGCTTTGAAGAAGGGCCGCTTCCAGATTCCACCGATCCAAAAACGGAATGGTGCCCCCTAAACCCTGGTCCTAAACCCTAAACCCTAAACCCTAAACCCTAAACCCATAAACCCTTAAGCAAAGGGCAGCACTTGCAGCTCTTGCTTGGTGATGGGCCCAAGGACCAGCACGACGACCACCACCGGACAGGTGCATCTCGTGGGTGTCGGCTTCCAGGAAGGGTCTTCAAGTCCCCAAACCCTAAACCCTAAACCCTAAACCCTAAACCCTAAACCCTAAAACCTAAACCCTAAGCCCTAAACCCGAAAGCCGCAAAACTCTAAACCCTGGATTTGAGCCTCCCGCTGTGCGAAGGATGGCGTAGTTCCGACAGTTTGGCTGCCAGGATGGGCTACTAGGCCCTAGAATCCCCATAACCAACCCTATAAAGAGCCTTTTTGCAGGGGTTTTAGGGTATCCTGCTATAATCCCATGATCAACCCTATAAAGGGCCCTTTTGAGCTGGGGCTGGTGTTTGGTGTGTGTCGTGGTTGCGTACTATCTCAGCGCAAGGTCTTCAACTTCACGCTCGTGGGCCAAGGTATCTGTGCCAGCGGCTTGGCTGTAATGGTGGTTAGTTTCAACAGTTTCTGACCATTTGCGCCTTTTTTTGGGGGTCCTCGCAAGGTCTGTTCTCTTCTTTCTGGGGTGTCATGATAATAAAGACCCGTTTTGCGAAACTCCCTGGTGATCGGACGAAGAAGAAGAAAAAGAAGAAGAAGAAGAAGAAGAAAAATAAGAAGAAGAAGAGGAAGAGGAAGAAGAAGAAGAAGAAGAAGAAGAAGAAGAAGAAGAAGAAGAAGAAGAAGAAGTTTGGGCCCTCCCTGTCGGAGGGTAAAGCATGCACAAGAAGAAGAGTTTAGGACGTAACTAGGGTTTAGGAAAACAGGGGACCCAACATAGACCCCCAAATAGTAGGATCTCCTAATTTCCTAAACCCTAAACCCCAAACACTTAACCCTAAACCCCAAACCTAGGGTTAGGAGAGCTGAAGCTGAGGTATGGAGCGGATCACCCATCAGCCCGACGTGGGCTCGCGCGATTCCTGCCAGGAGGGGCTGACCGTGAAATTGGGGTTTCCGAAAGTAGGCGTACCCTTTTCGGGGGCACCCTTTTCGGGGGCCCCTTGAAGGGGATTCTATTCTATTTGGGGTAGGAACGCGGTACCCAGAATTTGCCAGATTGGTTGAAAGGGGTGGGCCATGGTAGGCTTCCCCCCCACCCGGGGCAGTTGGTGCAACAAAGCCATCGTGGAGCGTCCTGGTAGGGTGGAAGCCCTGAACCCTAAACCCTGAACCCTGAACCCTCAACCCTAAACCCTAAACCCTAAACCCTAAACCCTAAACCCGTTCTTCCCTAAGCCGCTGCAGAGCTTCCACAACCCGGGAGGAGATGTGCAATCGGATGGACAGCTGCTGGGAAGCCCGGCAATTTGCTTGGGCTCTGGGCGGCAGGGTGCTACCGCAAGCAGCACGTGGGCGTTGATCGGGGTTTAGGGTTTAGGGTTTAGGGTTTAGGGTCGGGCATTACAAGCCACGGTCACACACAGCTCGCTGCAGAGTCTGGGTGTGCGAGGGAGAGGTTTTAATGGTACTCTTCTGAGTGTCTATGTGGTTTCTTATAAATATTGGCGAGTGTATGTAGTAGGTGTCCTTTTGGGGATGCTGAGAATCACAATCATAGCTTAATTTGGATTTCCAGACCTACTTCCTTCGACAAGCCAAGAGTGCATCTCTTGCCAGCTGCAAACCCTAAAATCTGCACCCTAAACCCTAAGCCCTAAACCCTAAACCCTAAACCCTAAACTCTAAACCCTAAACTCTGCACCAACAAACCCTAAACCCTAAACTCTGCACCAACAAACCCTAAACCCTAAACTCTGCACCAACAAACCCTAAACACCAAGGCCTAAACCCTAGAAACACCCTGCCGAGGCCGGGCTTACTCCTACTGTTCGGCCTCTTGGCGCGTCTTCTTTCAGTGAGTGACGAAACGATGGACCTCAAAGCTCGCACAAGTTTAGGGTTTAGGGTTTAGAGTTTAGGGTTCGCAAACTGAGGATGCCGAGATCTCTGGGTGCGCTGGCTTCTGTGGCCTCTACACAGGCCTGCGCTGCGAGCGTGCCCTCATGTCTGGGACCGGACACATGCGGTTCAGGGTTTAGGGTTTAGGGTTTAGGGGTTAGGGCAAAGCTGTTCGCGCTCTCCAGGTGCCGTGAAGCACGCAGACAACCAGAACACCAGCAGCTGCTGGGCATCTTTCTTGCAAGAAGCCGGAAACGCACCAAGACAGTTGGAGAGGCAGCTGAGTCCATAGCACCGTCTGAAGGCCAAGACTGTCTGCAAGACCATCATCCTCGACACACCCAATGCCACAATCGAGCCTTGGCACGAGGGCTTAGGGTTTAGGGTTTAGGGTTTAGGGTTTAGGGTTTAGGGTTTAGGGAGAGAACTGCCTCAGGGCTTTCTACTCTGCTCACGGCCGTCTGCTGTCAGAACTGACGACATCTACGCTCGATGGTCTAGCTTCTGCATCACGAGGTAAGGTTGGCAGATGTTCGCAATCTACCCGGGGGTTTACGAAGATAGGGACCCCCTAAATGGACCCTCAAAGAGTCGGATTTCCTGATAATAAGGACCCCAAAAAGGTACCCCTAATCTCGGAAACCCCCACATCCTAAACCCTAAACTAAACCCTAAACCCTAACCCTAAACCCCAGAGCCCTTGCAATGACAAGGAGGGTGATTGGACCACAAGCCGAGCCGTGCCCGGCTTCACCGGGCGCAACTATCTGCTGGACGGGTTTAGGGTTTAGGGTGAGGGTTTAGGGTTTAGGGTTTAGGGTTTAGGGTTTAGGGTTTAGGGTTTAGGGTTTAGGGTTTAGGGTTTAGGGTTTAGGGTTTAGGGTTTAGGGTTTAGGGTTCAGCACTCCGGGTCGAGCAGCTTTATGGTTAAGCTTTATTTACGGCTCGGATATAACACCCACCCACCCAGAGAATCCCACTACATTGAGAAAGCCAAAAACGGCCAAAATAAAGCGGCCAAATTCTGAAAATAAAGCGGCCAAATTCTGAAAATAAAGCGGCCAAATTCTGAAAATAAAGCGGCCAAATTCTGAAAATAAAACGGCCAAATTCTGAAGCGGCCAAATTCTGAAAATAAAGCGGCCAAATTCTGAAAATAAAGCGGCCAAATTCTGAAAATAAAGCGGCCAAATTCTGAAAATAAAGCGGCCAAATTCTGAAAATAAAGCGGCCAAATTCTGAAGCGGCCAAATTCTGAAAATAAAGCGGCCAATTTCTGAAAATAAAGCGGCCAAATTCTGAAAATAAAACGGCCAAATTCTGAAATTCAATTAGCCTTTGGCCTGATTTTGGCTCATTCTGAAAATAAAGCGGCCAAATTCTGAAAATAAAGCGGCCAAATTCTGAAAATAAAGCGGCCAATTTCTGAAGCGGCCAAATTGTGAAAATAAAGCGGCCAAATTCTGAAAATAAAGCGGCCAAATTCTGAAAATAAAGCGGCCAAATTCTGAAATTCAATTAGCCGTTGGCCTGATTTTGGCTCATTCTGAAAATAAAGCGGCGAAATTCTGAAAATAAAGCGGCCAAATTCTGAAAATATAGCGGCAAAATTCTGAAAATAAAGCGGCCAAATTCTGAAAATAAAGCGGCCAAATTCTGAAAATAAAACGGCCAAATTCTGAAAATAAAGCGGCCAAATTCTGAAAATAAAGCGGCCAAATTCTGAAAATAAAGCGGCCAAATTCTGAAAATAAAGCGGCCAAATTCTGAAAATAAAGCGGCCAAATTCTGAAAATAAAGCGGCCAAATTCTGAAAATAAAGCGGCCAAATTCTGAAAATAAAAACGGCCAAATTCTGAAATTCAATTAGCCTTTGGCCTGATTCTGAAAATAAAGCGGCCAAATTCTGAAAATAAAGCGGCCAAATTCTGAAAATAAAGCGGCCAAATTCTGAAAATAAAGCGGCCAAATTCTGAAAATAAAGCGGCCAAATTTTGAAAATACAATTAAGGTTTAAATATATATGGTAGAGAGGGTTTAGGGTTTAGGGTTTAGGGTTTAGGGTTCAGCACTCCGGGTCGAGCAGCTTTATGGTTAAGCTTTATTTACGGCTCGGATATAGCACCCACCCACCCAGAGAATCCCACTACATTGAGAAAGCCAAAAACGGCCAAATTCTGAAAATAAAGCGGCCAAATTCTGAAAATAAAGCGGCCAAATTCTGAAAATAAAGCGGCCAAATTCTGAAAATAAAGCGGCCAAATTCTGAAAATAAAACGGCCAAATTCTGAAAATAAAGCGGCCAAATTCTGAAAATAAAGCGGCCAAATTCTGAAAATAAAGCGGCCAAATTCTGAAAATAAAGCGGCCAAATTCTGAAAATAAAGCGGCCAAATTCTGAAAATAAAGCGGCCAAATTCTGAAAATAAAGCGGCCAAATTCTGAAATTCAATTAGCCTTTGGCTTGATTTTGGCTCATTCTGAAAATAAAGCGGCCAAATTCTGAAAATAAAGCGGCCAAATTCTGAAAATAAAGCGGCCAAATTCTGAAAATAAAGCGGCCAAATTTTGAAAATACAATTAAGGTTTAAATATATATGGTAGAGAGGGTTTAGGGTTTAGGGTTTAGGGTTTAGGGTTTAGGGTTAGGGTTTAGGGTTTTTTCGGTTTCGGGCTTTAGCTAGAGGGTCCTGTGGCTTCTCGGAGTAGGAGCTCGCCGAAGTTGATGTACGCTGACTCACGGGCCCGGTGTAAAGTTGGGACCTGGTGTGGGAGAGCTGGGACAATATGGACCCTAAACCCTAAAACCCTAAGAACCTAAAACCCTAAAACCCTAAAACCCTAAACCCTAAAACCCTAAAACCCTAAGACCCTAAAACCCTAAAACCCTAAAACCCTAAAGCCCTCAAAGCCCAAAGGCCCTAACAGCCCCCAACACCCCTAAAAACCCTGAAAACCTCACACAGAATGGGGTTTTGTAAGCCCCGAAACCCGAAACCACTGAACCTAAACCGCTAATAACCCCCAACCCCTCAACCCTTAAGCCTCTAAACCCCTAAGCCCTAAACCCTTAAACCCCTAAAACCCTAAACCCTAAGTCCTGAGGTAAACCGTAAACCCTAAACCCTAAACCCTAAAACCTAAACCCTAAACCCTAAACCCTAAACCCTACGATTTGTGAGAGGACAAGCGCGCTGGCGGCTCGGTGACCTGGGCGGTGCCTTCAGGCACCTTCTTGGTGCTGCTGAGTTGCCTGGAAGCGCTACAAGGGTTTAGGGTTTAGGGTTTAGGGTTTAGGGTTTAGGACAGTCGTTCGCAGCCGGCTTGCTTTGAGCCATTTTTCGGCTCTTGTTCCTTTCGCGCTTGCAAGTTGCGGAGCTGAGGCTACACGCCGTATCCAAACCGAGCCTCCAACGTGCCCGTCGTCATCACACAGGGAGGCCAGTCAACCACCCTGCGCGTGAACCAGAAGCAAGGCGGGCAACCGAACAGCAGAAGTCAGATAGTCACTTCTCCAAATTCTGGTCCCTTTTAGGGTCGCTTTTCTAAGGCGGCCCCTACTATTTAGGGTGCTCAAAAAGGGACCAGAATTTTGAGAACTGACCAGATGCATCAGGAGGTCAGCTCACTGTTTTTTTTTTTTTTTTTGCGTGTTGGCGTCGCCTGCCGAAGGCCGCCAGAAGCTGTTGGGGAGGCTGGGAAGATCTGCTTGAGCGTTGTCACGGCGGCTCACACCATCTCACTAAAACTTAAATGGGCGGCTTCTCAAAATCAGCGGTGCCTATTTTGGTGGGTCCTTTTTGTAAGTGCTCTATTTTGGGGTGAATAAGGGGTACCCCTATTCTGGGAAATCCCCAAATGCACTCAACGCCACAGACCCCCCGCCCGCCGATCGCCCAACACCTCCACAGAATTTGGGCCCCTTTGTCCTTTCGACAGAGGTGGACACTCCTTTCAGGGTTCCTTTTTAGGATCTCAAATCAGGGTTCGAGCAGGACGCATGCTCGACATCGGCGGATATAGTCACCACGGGAAGGTACACCTTCACCAAGGGTGACACCATCAAGCTTGCCACGTACGGCGTGGATGGCAAGGTCGTCGGTTCTTCTACCCCAGGAGTTTGCCTTGAGATGCTTGTGCATTCTGCATCAGGTGGTCGCCGATGCTCTGAAGCTGTCGTCATGCCGCTCGGTTTCACCTGGACATAGCGATTCATCTCGGGTTCTAGCCGGGCCTTGTTTGCAGTCGATCGGCCCAACCCCACACGCCTACAAGCCCGTGGCCGCATCGAAACGCGTGGCGCCTACGGCAGGCAACGATGACTTAACCTCGGAGCTACAGGCCCCATCTGAGGCACGATCTTGGCTGTCAGAATTGGGCTTCCAGAGGGTATCCATACAGGGGGCCGACTTAATAGCTTTGAACCCGAAACCCGAAACCCCTAAACCCCCCATTTCCCCCCATTTGCCCCCAAAACCCTCAAAACCCCCAAAACCCCCCCAAAACCCTCAAAAACCTTCCAAAAACCTCCCAAAACCCCCCGAAACCCAAACCCCCCAAAATTCAACCCCCAAACTGGGCAGGTGCCCGAGACGGAGTGGAAGTTGGTCTTCCGGCAGACGTCTCGGCCTTCAGACGGTGGCAGCCCAATTTAGGGGGCTTTAGGGGTGTAGGGCTTTCGAAGGGCGGGTGTGTAGGGTCTGAGGGTAGACGCTCAGGGTTCGAAGAGTTTAAAGAGGGTTCTAAGAGGGTATTAAGAGGGTTTTGAGAGGGTTTCCGTTTAGGGCTAGGGGTCTTGGATTCACATGAAGCAGGGTTTATATTACTGTTCTTGGTGAGTGTATAGAAGGTTCCTTTTTAATATTGGTGAGTGTATATACCTTGTGTCCTTCTGGGGGTACAAGAATTATGTACCCTACTTCACATGAGTTTGCTTTCCGCAATTTGCAGATCTGATGCTCTCCCATGCTCCTCCAGTCTCCAGTCTGCTCTCTTCGGCACGACCTTGACCCTGACTCTAAACCCTAAACCCTAAACCCTAAACCCTAACCCTAAACCCTAAACTCTAAACCCGAAACAGAAGAGCCAACCAGCAAGGACTCTTCAGGAAGGGCGAGTGGTCCTTGGACTCGAAAAATCCTGCCAGTGAGAACTTTGCTGACCTGGAGGACCGAGCTCCCAAGCAATGCGCATCGTCGGGTTTAGGGCTTAGGGTTGAGGGTTTCGGGTTTAGGGTTTGGGGTTTAGGGTTTAGGGTTTGGGGTTTAGGGTTTGGGGTTTAGGGTTTGGGGTTTAGGGTTTAGCGGCTGCCCTTGAACTGGCAGCCTCTGCGCAAGTCGGTCTTCTTCATGTGGGGTTTGCGAAAATACGGGGCCCCCACAACATATAACAAGGACCACAGTAAGGTATCCCTATTTTCGGTAACCCCCATGTCTGGTTCGGCTTGGACATATGGCGGTTTACGAGAATAAGAGGATAGCGTAGTATTCACCCCCCAAATAGTAGGATTCCTTTATGATACGGACCCCAATCAGGCACACTTCGGTCCCCCCCCCCATATTCAGCACAGGATCTGGAGCTGTACAAGATCGATGGAGCTCCTTGGAAGTTATATTCTTGCGTCAGCTGAAGTCGCATGAGGGCATGGCTTCTGCTCTGCAATGGTCATCGCCTCATCGGCTACTATGAAGAACGGCCGGCGCAGGTGCGTAGATTCCCTAGACCCTAAACCCTAAACCCTAAACCCTAAACCCTAAACCCTAAACCCTAAACCCCTAAACCCTAAACCCTAAACCCTAAACCCTAAACCCTGTTGCTTGCTCTCCGCAGCCGGGAAGGTCCCAGCAGGGTTGGCTAGTGGCTTGACCACCCCTAGGGCTTAGCGGTTCCGCATGCTTTTCGCCAAAGCGTGGAGAGCCCGTGCCAACGAGGGCGGAATCTATGGGGTTTAGGGTTTAGAGTTTAGGGTTTAGGGTTTAGGGTGTAGGGTTTAGGGTCTAGGGTTTAGAGTTTAGGGTTGCGTTTTTGTGGCACGCCACGACAAGCAAGACCAGCTCCAGTTGGAATGCCGCATGGCGGATGCGTGCCAAGATATGGAGCACAAGGCCTGCTGCCATGGGGGGCATGACCAGCGCTGCACTGCGTCCCAGACATTCCGCTGCTCCTGGTTGTGCACCCTTTAACTCGATGCTAAACCCTAAACCCTAAACCCTAAACCCTAAACCCTAAACCCTAAACCCTAAACCCTAAACCCTAAACCCTAAACCCTAAACCCTTAAACCTAAACCCTAAACCCTAAACCCTAAACCCTAAACCCTAAACCCTAAACCCTAAACCCTAAACCCTAAACCCTAAACCCTAAACCCTAAACCCTAAACCCTAAACCCTAAACCCTAAACCCTAAAACCCTAATCCCTAATCCCTAAACCCTAAACCCGAAACCTCTTGATTTTGGGCAGGCAGATGCCTTTTGGAAGCTGCACGCAAAGCTTGGCGAGGTGTGGGTCATGAATGTGGACGGGTGGAACCCGAAACCCTAAACCCCAAACCCTAAACCCTAAACCCTCAACCCTCAAACCAAAACCCTAAACCCGAAACCCGAAACCCTAAACCCGAAACCCTAAACCCAAACCCTAAACCCTAAACCCACCTTCCAGCTTGACACAGGCCCATCGTCAGGCCATGTCAGAGTTGACGCTCAAGCTTCAGCTGGGTCAGGCCGACCACGTAGTATTTCTGCCCAGGGGTTTAGGGTTTAGGGTTTACGGTTCAGGGTTTTAGGGTTTAGGGTTTACTTGCACCTTTGCCTCATGATTCGCATGCCGTGGATCATAGATGAGAACATAAGAATCTTAGCCGGGCAGCAAGATACGACATGTGTGTTTAAGCACATACGTGCGTGCATACATACAGCAGGGGTAGTTTTGAACATAACTTTTATACTTGCTATTGCCCTTAATCCCTACACAATCCTTGTAAAACCCAAAGAATATGTTGTTTATAGGGTTCCCAAACCTACCCCAGACAGGCAGATAGCCAAATGATGCCAGAAGGTCTCCTCGTCTAAACGCAGCGGCGGGTCACCAGAATTGCAAGACTCTGCCGCCTGGCGAGGGATTGGACAAGCCCCAAACCCAGACCCCGGGGAGGATCCAAAAAGTAGAACCCACAAATAGTACCCTATACGACTATTGGGTCATTCTTCGGAACCCTTGAGGGATCTGCTTTTTGGATCCTCCCAGGGGTCTGGGAATCCCACGCCCTGAGCCATGAAAGGTCCGAGGAGCCTCAGCCACAAGAAAGGGAAGCAGGGATGGTTGAAGTAGAGAGTAGATCAGAGGGATCGCAACAAACACAATTGTGGGGCATTTCCCGAAATAATTCAAGGGCTGGCCCCTGACAGGCTCCCCCAAAATCAGCATCCTTCTTCGAGGCACCCCCCCCAAAGCCCCCAAACCCCTAAACTCAAACGCTACATCTCGAAACCCTAAACCCTAAACCAGAACCCCTAAACCCCTAAACCCCTAAACCCCTAAACCCCTAAACCCCTAAACCCCTAAACCCCTAAACCCCTAAACCCCTAACCCCCTAACCCCCTAACCCCCAACCCACCCCCTCCCGAGGTCGGTTCTGACGGGAGCGAGGCTTCGGAGGTCTGCGTTTACATGTTTCCGCAACCTCCAAGGGGTGTAGGGCTTAAACCCTAAACCCTAAACCCTAAACCCTAAACCCTAAACCCTAAACCCTAAACCCTAAACCCTAAACCCTAAACCCTAAACCCTAAACCCTAAACCCTAGATTTTGAGGCTTACCGGGCCTCTGAAGCCTGAGGGCATGCAGGGCCTTGACCTGACTCTCTTGAAGCGGTTTAGGGCTGTTTAAAGTTTAGGGTTTAGGGCTTAGGGCTTAGGGTTTAAGGCTTAGGGTTTAGGGGTTTGGGTTTAGGGTTTAGGGTTTAGGGTTCAGGGTTTAGGGTTTAGGCCTTAGGGTTTAGGGTTTAGGACCAAGAAAAGGAGGGAGTATTGAAGCCCATCGACGAGGCACGTTCTGAGTGAATCACATACACTTTCTAATTATTCTGGCCTTGAGGGTTTAGGGTTTAGTGTTTAGGGTTTGGGTTTTCGGGTTCGGGGGTTTTAGGGTTCAGTCTCTGCCTCTGTCTCTGTCTCTGTCTCTGTCTCTGTCTCTGTCTTTCCCTCGCCCTCTCCCTCTGCCTCTGCCTCTCCCTCTCCGGCTCCCTCTCCCTCAAACCCTAAGCTCTGAACTCTAACTCCAAGCTCTGAACCGTAAACCTTAAACCCTAACCCTAATCTCTCTTTCTCTTTTTCTTTTTGTTTTTTTTTGTTCTCTCTCTCTCTCTCGTTCTCTCTCTCTCTCTCTGTCCCTCTCTCTCTCTCTCTCGAAGCCAGGAGGACGAGTCCGTCGCATCCCTGAACCACGACCGAGATCGCTCGTTAAACGAGGCCGTTGGCTTCTCGGCGATGTTCCCGGCTGTTTAGGGTTTAGTTTAGGGTTTGGGGTTTGGGGTTTAGGGTTAGGGCGTAGGGTTTAGGGTCTAGGGTTTAGGGTTTAGGGTTTACGGTTTCCAAGATCTCACAACTGCAAGCCCCCTTCAGGAATTGTGCCGTATTCTTTTGGCTATATAAAGGTTCAAGGGAATATTTTCAAACATCTTTTTCTTGTGGTTCCAGGTAAGAGTATAGATCTCGCTCTCCCTCCCTCCTTCCCTCCCTCCCCTCCCTCCCTAAATCCTGAACCCCATGATCGTTGCTTGCGGAGTTCCAGAGCACGACTGCTTTGTGTCTACACATCGCCAAACCCCAAACCCCAAATAGTCCCAAACCCCAAGCCTCAAACCCCAAACTCCAAACCCCAAACCCCAAACCCTAAACCCTAAACCCTACACCCTAAACCCTAAACCCTAAACCCCAAACCCTGAACCCCAAACCCTAACCCCCAAGCTCCATCCCAGGATCGGGTGGCTTTCTTCCGCGCAGTGGATCTAAGCTCAGCTTCACAGGTGCAAGATGTCCCAAAGTGGCAAAGGTTGAGGGTTTAGGGTTTAGGGTTTAGGGTTTAGGGTTTAGGGTTCAGGGTTTAGGGTTTAGGGAGGTTCATTGGTACATGCAAGTAGGGTTATCAGTAGTGTAACGATGGTTACGACCTTATTTAGGGTACGTGCATCTAAGTACCCGTGAACCTCCAAGCATGTGTTCCTTTGATTTTCTGATGCTCCGTTGCCTCGTGTGGCATCGGGTAGGACCTGCTAGTGACGTGTTGTGTCATCTCGGTTGTGCGGTCGGGGTGGTGGGGCCCTAAACCCTAAACCCTAAACCCTAAACCCTAAACCCTAAACCCTAAACCCTAAACCCTAAACCCTAAACCCTGAACCCTGAACCCTGAACCTTGAACCCTAAACCCTAAACCCGGTCTAAACCCTGAACCCTCAACCCATGTTGTGTTCTTCATTCTCTTTTCTTGCAACGTTTCGAGGCGGGCTCGAATTCTATTTGGCTATCACTAGTCCTGGGCGTGGCAACATGTGAAGTAGGGTACATGAACCAGAATATGCCCTATACTACGATACCCTCTTTTAAGGTATATTGGGCCATTCTTCATTATACTACTATTGCTTAAGAGCCCCGCAAAATGAAGCTAGTTCTCTCTATCTTACCCTTATAGGGTCAGAATCGTTTTTTTTGGGACTTCAGCAAATAGTAGTATTATCAGGGTGCCGTATTATAAAAGGGCACCCCATAAGGGACCTGTAGGAACTTGAGCAGGCGCCCAGCTGTCGGTGCCCATGCACCCGGCGTCGCAGCTCGGATGTTCTACTCACTTAGGGATTAGGGATTAGGGATTCGGGTTTCGGGTTTAGGGTTTAGGGTTTAGGGTTTAGGGTTGCATCGAGTTAAAGGGTGCGCAACCCTCGTTGCGGGCTACGAGCAAGAGGCCAGAGATAGCTTGGCACACAAGGTGGAATGATGGTTGCACGTGTCTCCTCCATGATTGGAAGTATGAGTACTCACTGGAAAATGAAGAGTTGTCAGAATTATCGCAGTATCGCCGAAGTTTAGGGTTTAGGGTTTAGGGGTTAGGGTTAACCCACTCTTATGTTTGTGGGGCTGCGGCTCTTGCGTTCTGAGTCCGCCGGCCTCCTCGCCCACGAACAGCATCAAGAGGCGGAGCGCGACCGCCGCTTGTCAGGAGCTCCCAAGTACGTGACCTGGAACTGGCTGGGCGTTCTCTAAGGGGTTTAGGGTTTAGGATTTAGGGGGCACCTTTTTTCAGAAGGCTACCTAGAGGGCCCCAGGCGAACCTACGCGTTCATCTTCGGCCAAACCCTAAGCCCTAAACCCTAAACCCTAAAGCCTAAACCCTACACCCTAAACCCTAAACCCGTTCTGAACGCCCAAGACGGTCGAACGTACTCACACATGGTGCAGCTGAAGCAAGCAATCATCTTCAAGCAACTCTAGGTGCATTCATTCAAATTTCCCGGGTTTAGGGTTTAGGGTTTAGGGTTCAGGGTTTAGGGTTTAGGGTTTAGGGTTCAGGGTTTAGGAATTGAGTGACAGATCAGTACGACGAGCGTCAAATCGATATGAACTCATCCCAACAAAGCACACCGAAACTAGTCAAGAGAGTTTTGCTCTTGGGATCAAGATGGGGATGTTCCCCCTTATACCAGCAGTCCTCAGTAGGGATTCGAGTACCCCCTTTTTGCAATGCCCATAAAGGACTGTTAGTATGGGGGGGGAACATTCCCAGACCAAAGATCACGATTTAACACCCTAAACCCAAAACCCAAAACCCAAAACCCTAAACCCTAAACCCTAAACCCTAAACCCTAAACAGGTTGACAGCACTACCGGTCGCGGTGGTCGACAGCGATGCCTCAGCTCCTTGGCAAGACTTCGCGATCACTCAGCCATCAGCTGGCCATTCTTGACTTTGGACAAGGGGTGTGCCTTTTTCACCCTAAACCCTAAACCCTAAACCCTAAACCCTAAACGCTAAACCCTAAACCCTAAACCCTAAACCCTAAACCCTAAACCCTAGACCCTAAACCCCAAACCCTAAACCCTAAACCCTAAACCCCAAGCCCTAAACCCTAAATGAGTGAGGCTCCGCTTCCTTCATGTCGGGCTTGAATCCCGACTTCGCCGGCCTTAGCGAAGTTGGTGACATCTCGTGGCCTGGATCATGCTTTGAGACTCAGGGGTTAGGGTTTAGGGTTTAGGGTTTAGGGTTTAGGGTTTAGGGTTTAGGGTTTAGGTGGTTGAACTTCAGCTTTTTTGCCAGTTGAGGCAAGCAATCGTGGGAGCGGACGAGGACAGCAAGGCGAGAGAGATCGCGGCCAAACTTCAGGCCGGGCTAAGCCGGCTGTCAGGCGGCACACAATCCGTGGCTCTGAGGTCCTAGGTAGGATAATTAAGGGGGACCCTTCAAAGGGAACCCTTCCTAACCTTCTTCTGGCTCTCTTAAACAGGGACCTTATTCAGAGGGTCTATATCCCCAAGAGTCCCCCTAAACCCTAAACCCTAAACCCTAAACCCTAAACCCTAAACCCTAAACCCTAAACCCTAAACCCTAAACCCTAAACCCTAAACCCTAAACCCTAACCCCTAAACCCTAAACCCTCAACCCTCAACCCTAAACCCTAAACCCTAAACCCTAAACCCTAAACCCTAAACCCTTATCCTAAACTATTAGGGGAGGCAGACAACGCAGGATGAGTGCTCCCACGGTGCCTTTCACGTCATCTGAGCGCAACTGCTGCAGGAAGCTGTGGCAGCCCTTGAGCCCCAGGACGCCAAGAGTTTCAGGGTTTAGGGTTTAGGGTTTGGGGTTTAGGGTTTAGGGTTTGGGGTTTAGGATTTCTTCCTTCTCTCGGGGGCTTGGGAGGGACTCTGGGGACGGGTGTGGTCCGATTTTTTTTTGCTGCTGGAGGAACACGCAGCCCTCCTCAACCGGCACGCCATTCCCCACCTGCGCCTTGGGGGCGGGTTTAGGGTTTAGGGTTTAGGGTTTAGGGTTCAGGGTTTGCGATTTAGGGTTTAGGGTTTAGGGTTTAGGGCGAATTCCGCAAACCTTGGTAGCCCAGTGGTACCCTTTACTTTTTTTTTTTTTTTTTTGGGGGGGGGGGGTGGTGGTTATGGTTTCCCTGATAAAATCGCCCACCCAAAAAAGGGTGCCCTTGTTGTAAGATGGTTGCTGGGCTGCCAAGAAACTGTGTGTTCCAGGCCTAGGTTACATGGCGTAGCTCAGTGAGATGGGCGGCCTTAGCTGTGCCCAGAACGTGGTTTCGCGGCATTGGTGCCAGCCATGATGCATTTAGGGTTTCCTTTCCTTATGGTTTAGGGTTTAGGGTTTAGGGTTTAGGGCTTAGGGTTTAGGGTTTAGGGCTTAGGGCTTAGAGCTTAGGGCTTAGCAGCCTTGGCAAAGGAAGCAGAAGTTGCCAAGCCTGGAAGAGGACGAGGAGGATGAGACCGTTTTTGCCCCGAGGATGGAGCGGCTTGGACCAGAAAAACAGGCTCTGTCGGCTTTAAGGCGGGATGCGCCTGGCTTCATGAAGCCCGGGAACCCTAAACCCTAAACCCTAAACCCTAAACCCTAAACCCTAAACCCTAAACCCTAAACCCTAAACCCTAAACCCTAAACCCTAAACCCTAAACCCTAAACCCTAAACCCTAAACCTCTGTGGCTGAGCCCGGAGCTCAGGTGGTCCGCTGCTGAGCGTAACAGCAGGTCGAGGGCCTCCTCGCGGAAACGTGCCTCAGACTGGCTTGTGTTCGGGGGCGATGATTTGGGTTTGGGGTTTAGGGTTTAGGGTTTAGGGTTTAGGGTTTAGGGTTTAGGGTTTAGGGTTGAGGGCTTAGGGCTTAGCTAGGGTTTAGAGGATGGAGCTGGGTGCAATGATTTTGCCCTTCTTGGGGGTCCCTTTAAGGGGATGTTCCCTCTTATACTAACAGTCCTTAATAGGGAGTATCGTACCCCCCCGATAATGATCCCTATTCAGGAATGTTGGTATAGGGGGAACATCCCAAGCGATTCTGTTCTATGTGGGTTTTTAAAGGGGTACCCCTATTTTGGGAAGTGCCCATTCGGAGCTGGGCGCAATGGTATTTTGTAACGCTTGCGCCCACCGCCTCGGCACCTGCTCCCCCCAGGTTTAGAATAGGGTTTAGGGTTTAGGGTTTAGGGTTTGGGTTTAGGGTTCAGGGTTCAGGGTTTAGGGTTTAGGGTTTAGGGTTTAGGGTTTAGGGTTTAGGGTTTGGGGTTTAGGGTTTAGGGTTTAGGGTTTAGGGTTTAGGACTCGAAGTGCTCGAAGTGACTTCGGATTGCACCTGTACCAGGTGACTCTCTAAGGGGACCTTCAGTGCATACTAGAAGATCCCAAGTTTTCTCCTGCACATTGCAGCAAGTCGGAGTGCTTCCATCATGTTCGCCCGTGCGCTCAGCTGCCACGACGCTGACCAGCCAGATGGACCTAGCTGATGACATTCCAGAGATGGGACAGAGACTTTGCTCCAAAGGTGAGTGTACATGTTTATGGCGAGAGTCGGGCTCGCGGCAACCAACCGTGCTTGGTGTGTTGTGCATGTTTTGAGGCAATAAGAAGTGGTGTTGTAGATTGGGGCACATTCCTTTGAGTAGCCGATAGCCGGCACTGTGCAACAAGGACCCGACAGTTCACCAGCAATCTGTATCATCCGACGCGCCGTCGTTGGCCGCAGTTGCTTGGCTACATGCGCCCAAAAGACCTTAAACGTCGGCTTCTTTGTCTTGGACATCTGGTTCAAGGGCCTTCCAAGCGGAGCACCCAGAAAGTTGCGCTGATTGGTTGCGTCGAGGCTGGTCTTCATGCCCACCGGCACCTTCAGGACGCCCGAGTGTTGTTTCCTAGGTAGGATAAGGGGGACCCTTACATTAAAAGGGGAACCCTTCTTAACCTTCTTCTGGCTCTCTTAAACAGGGACCTTATTCAGAGGGTCTACATCCCCAAGGGTCCCCCTACTCCTATCCCCGATTGTCGAACTGGAGGATGCTGTGCACATCTTTGGTAGGGAGCACGCCAGCCGGCTGTGCGTGCGTCCTCTCCCCACCCTGAGCCAGCTACCCGAACCGCGCGCGGCCGCAAGGCTTGCAAGGTGTGTGCCTAGAGGAGGCATGCGTGCTGCGTACGTATATACGCAAAGATCAGCTTATGTAAATATACACATATGTATACGTCTACGTATACGCGTTATACATACATATCTATATCTATATATATATACACATGTATATACGTATACATGTATATATATATATAGAATCATGCGTAAACATGTGCGTACGTTGTTTTTCTTTATATACGTACACGCACACACACATATATCTACATATATATATATATATACATACACATAATATATGTGCATACGTACATGTGTATATCTCTGTGGGCTTCCACATTCCCCAGTGGCCGGTGGCTGCCAGGACGGCCTGGGATTTCTTCAACATTGTCGTCTTGACCCTGGAGCTGCGCCTCGGCGCAGCGTAAGGCGCACGTTCGCAGCATTCTGCGAGGCCTTGCTCCCCATGGTGTTTCGGGCTTTAGGGCTTAGGGCTGAGGGTTTAGGGTTTAGGGTTTAGGGCTTACGGTTTAGGGTTTAGGGTTTAGGGGCTTTTGGGTGGAGAGCCAAGCATTCGCAGCCCAGGATCCTGCTTCCGCTACATGTCTTCGAGGGGATGGTGCCCACACCTGGGCTCATCGGCCTATCATGGGTCATTCAGTGACACGGCTGAAGAAGAAGGCTGCGTTACTGTTCGTGTTCGTGCTTGGTATGCTTTGTATGCAAGCGTTGTCGAGTTGAGCTTTCGGCGCTTAGAATGTCTGTGGGATGTGCCTGGATTCTGAAGAGCGAGTGGCAATACATAGAAACGCTGTGCTGTAACAGTGGCGATGCTTGCAAAAACTGTGTGGAGCCCCCTACGTTTTGTCGAGCCAAATCAACTCTCATCAGAAAATCCGAGTCTCAATGTTGGTGGGCCTGAGTTTCTTTGGGCCATGAACTGCTGTCGCCACTGCTGAAATTAGGTCTATGAAGGTTAGGCTTTCAGGTAGAAGTACCGTCCTCCGCATCTCTGCAAGAATTGGAAGACCAACATGCCCCAACAAACAATCAAGATGGCCATGCTACCAACTGTCCGATTATGCTAGGTTACACAGCTCCCTCTTTATAAGATAAAGGTTTTCGGTTGTTCTTCAGAACCCTCAGCCCTATATGGGGAAACCAAAAGGGGGAACAGGAATATCACCCCTTAAAGTTTCAGACTTTTTGGGACTGAAACACAACAACCCTGAAAGGGTACCACCAAGCTCAACCAGGGGGGTCCGGTGGGGGCATACCAAGCCTAAGCTACCCTAAACCCTAAACCCTAAACCCTAAACCCTAAACCCTAAACCCTAAACCCTAAACCCTAAACCCTAACCTAAACCCTAAACCCTAAACCCTAAACCCTAAACCCTAAACCCTAAACCCTAAACCCTAAACCCTAAACCCTAAACCCTAAACCCTAAACCCTTAAACCTAAACCCTAAACCCTAAACCCTAAACCCTAAACCCTAAACCCTAAACCCTAAACCCTAAACCCTAAACCCTAAACCCTAAACCCTAAACCCTAAACCCTAAACCCTAAACCCTAAACCCTAAACCCTAAACCCTAAACCCAACCAAGGGTCCAACCACCGAGACCAACACCCCCGATCCCAAACCCTGAAGGGCTTACTCTCCTCTCTGCGAACGACTCCTGTGGCCATCCTTGAGCCAAATAGTTACGTATTTCAGAGGTGTGTTGAACATCCTCTCAACTTCTTTACAACATCTCCGCACCCTAAACCCTAAACCCTAAACCCCAAACCCTAAACCCTAAACCCTAAACAGGATCTTTTGGAACATGGACATTGTGGTCAACTTTCGGACCGGCTTCTACATGCGGGGCAACGCCATCAAGGAGACCAAGCAGATTGCGCTGTACTACCTGAGAGGTTGGGGGCTTAAGGTTTAGGGTTTAGGGTTTGGGGGGGTTTAAGGAGGTTTAGGGTGTACTACCTGAGAGGTTGGGAGTGTACCAGCTTGAGATCCTGCTTATGGATTGGGGTTTAGGGGCGAGGGTTTAGGGTTTTGGGTTTAGGGTTTAGGGGGGGGTTGAGGGCTTACAGCAGGGCTTGCCGCGAAACATGCCCTGTGCAGGCTGGTTACTTTGCGACTTTTCGCCGCTGGCCTTTGTTGTGTCTCACGCTTGTGAGTTGCCTAGCCGTAAGCCCAAAGCTCAAGGGACTAAAGGAGGGACCCTTATAAGGGACCTTAGGGGTTCTTTAGGGGCTATTTGGGGGCTACTTAGAGGTCCCTCCTCATACCCCTGAAAAAGCCCTAAGCCCTCAACCCTACAAGGAACGTGGTGTTGGATTGGTACGTGGACAGTGTTGACTCCTACCCCTCGGCCGTGTTGTCGCAGACCGACGCCAGCGCCGCCCCGCTCAGCTCTGCTTTGCTGTGAAACGCAATTGTCCAGGTAGCCAACAAAAGGAGGGTATATCCTAAACCCCAAGTATTTGGTACTTATTGTCGCTGAGGTGCTGTATTACTTGGTCATTACCAAGTTCATTCTCCGCCTGGTGCGCTTCGCCAAGCTGAACAGGATTGCGCAGCCGCCGGGCAACGATGTATGGCACCATCCAGTCGCAACACTGCGCGCTGCGCCCCAATTCCGTCCAGCGCGGTTCTGGACGAAAGCCCCGAACAAAAACCCCAAACCCCAAACCCCAAACCCCAAACCCCAAACCCCAAACCCCAAACCCACAACCCCCAAACCCCAAACCCCAAACCCCAAACCCCAAACCCCAAACCCCCAAACCCCAAACCCCAAACCCACAAACCCCAAACCCACAAACCCCAAACCCCAAACCCCAAACCCCAAACCCCAAACCCCAAGCCCCCAAACCCCAAACCCCAAACCCCAAACCCCCAAAACCCCCAAACCCCCAAGCCCCCAAACCCCCAAACCCTAAACCCTAAACCCTAAACCCTAAACCCTAAACCCTAAACCCTAAACCCTAAACGCCGGCTGCCCAAGGTCTCTCGTCCGTAGGCTCAACTCCGACACCGCCATCGCGAAGGCCAAGATCTTCCTGCTCTCGTGCCAGAAGCATGTCTGCGGTTTAGGGTTTAGGGTTTAGGGTTTAGGGTTTAGGGTTTAGGGGGTTGTGCAACATGGTTCAGGTTTCATGGTTGCGGGTGAGATTCGGGCAGCATCCCGCCATTCTACCAAGGATCCTGCTTATGCAGCATGTACTTGCGTCTCAGCCGCAGTCACACCTTCAGGGGAGGAACGTGATGCCAAGGGGGCTCAAGGAGGGGGGCAGGGTCGAGGAAACATCACGTTAAGTGTCCAGTAAGCATCATGTTAAGCGTCCAGTGTCATCCAGGCCAAAGGGATTTACCCTCTTCGGGCACCCTGCCATGCCCCTCTTCGGCTGCCGCAAAATGCACAGGATTTCTCTCCGGTTTCACGCAGCGGGACACCCGCCGTGCATTTTCCGGCCGCTGCAAAATGCACAGGGTTCCTTCCCGGCTTCCGCAAAATGCACAGGGCCCCACCCTGGTGCCACACGGCTGGAAACCTTTAAAAGCACAGCCTCAAACAAGCGAAGCCGTTAGTCCTTCAAGTCAATTCTAAACCTTAAAAACTTAGCAAGAGAATCCCAAACCTTAAAAGAATGGCCTTAGACTTCGAAAGGTTGCAGTTAACCTTAATTCTTGTCAACTAACACCTGATCCTGAACCATTGAACAGAGAAGTGTTACTTGAAACTCGACACCTTGGAAACCTTTCAAAGAATAGTCTGAAACCAAGAAGAGCCTGAGTCCTTCAGGAGAACCTAAACCTCCAAAATACAAGACAATCCTAAACCCGAAAAGGCTTATTTTCGAAATACTGCAGTCGGCCCTAACTTTTGAATAATAAAGAACTCAACATCCGATAGAGGCCATAGTTTTCAAAGAAGAAACCAACATCTCAAAGAGGATCTAAAAGAAGAGCGTAAACCCTGAACCGAAAAACCCTAAGGAATGAGAAGAAAACCCTAGGGAGTTAGGAAAAGCAACATAGGAAGACAGAACATTCTCAACAGGAAAACCAAACAAGAAACCCTAAGGCGTGAGGCAGTTGGTGACAAACAATCCTTTCCTAAACAGACATCCTGAAGAGAAAAGCCAAAAAGAAACCCTAAGGAGCAAGAACACCAACATGTAGTTGGTGACAGACAATCTTGTCCTAAGCAGAGAAGTGCAAAAAGACAAGCCTATGGAGTGAGAAGAAAGCCCTAAGCAGTTAGGAATAACATAGGAAGACATAGCATTCAACACAATTTGAAGGTAACAAAGGAGGGCGCGCACTGGAGTCCCGGCGTTTACTGGACGCGCCGCGGGGTCCAGTAAACGTTAAGCGTCCAGTGCGCATCCCAGGGCACACGCTGGACAAGTAAGTGCACGGGGACCCCCCGCAGGCAAACTCGAGTCCTGACATGATGTTTACTCGACCCTGGGCCCACTAAAGGAGGGCCCCTTACAAGAGACCTTCGGGGTTACTTAGGGGTTATGTAGGTACAAAGGGGCTATATAGGGCCTCTCTCTCTCTCTATATATATATGCATACACACATATATATATATGCATATATATATATATATACATATATATATATATGCATACATAGATGTATATATATATATATGTGTGTGCATACATATATATATATATGTGTGCATACATATATATATATATATATATACACATGCATACATATATATATATATGTATATATGCATACATATATGTATATATCTTGTTTATCTCTATATTATATCTATAGGGATCTATGGGCTTTATGGGGGGAATAAGATCGCCTTAGTGATGGAAGGTGAATCCTGTTACCCTATATAGTCCCTATATACCTCAGTAGCCCCTAAACCCCCCCCCCCCCCCCAATAACCCCTAAGGTCCCGCATAAGAGTCCCTAGTCCCTGAATTCGGAGGTGAGGGTTGACTTAGGGGTAATTGGGTGCACGGGGACTATATAAGGTATATATGTAGGGGTTATAGGGGAATAAGGTTCAGGGCCCCCTTTTTAGTCCCTTGGAAGGTGATGAAAGATGAGTCCCGTTCCGTTCGAGCGGCCACTAGGGTCAAACCCTAAACCCCAAACCCCAAACCCCAAACCCTAAACCCTAAACCCTAAACCCTAAACCCTAAACCCTAAACCCTCAACCCTGGGGGCATCCCGTGTGTATTCTGGGCCGCCGAGGCATGTGTCTGGTACAGAGTGGGCCGTGTCTCAGAGACGGAAGGCGGGTTTAGGGTATTTAGGGTTCAGGATTTGAGGTTTAGGGTTGAGGGTTGAGGGTTGAGGGTTTAGCGGACCACGGCATGTCATGCAAAGATTTTTCCCATCGTCTTGCGCCACTTTGCAGGCTGGGTAACCCAATTCGGCTTCGGCGAGCAAGATGCGGACTACAGGCAAGCCCTAGGCCCTAAGCCCTAAGCCCTAAACCTTAAACCCTAAACCCTAAACCCTAAACCCTAAACCCTAAACCCTAAACCCTAAACCCTAAACCCTAAACCCTAAACCCTAAACCCTAAACCCTAAACTTACCCTGAACCCTAAACCCTAAACCCTAAACCCTAAACCCTAAACCCAAACCCTAAACCCTAAACCCTACACCGTAAACCCTAAGCCCCAATCCCGAAACCCTAAACCCTAAACCTACACCCTAAGCCCTAAACCCTAAACCACGCTTTACCGTCCCCCGGCACCGTGATGTACTGCTTCGAGAGGATTCTACGCGAAGTCGCGTGTCAGATTCTAGCCATCTACATGTCTGAGGCGCGCAAAGGCCGCTTCATTTATAGGGTTTAGGGTTTTAGGGTTTAGGGTTTAGGGTTTAGCGTTTAGGGTTAGGGTTTAGGGTTTAGGGTTCATGTCAATCAGCCCCCGAGGTACACCACATCTCTGCATTGGATGTTCTGCCAGCTGGGCTTCGGATCTACGAGCATTGAGGCCACGCCGCGGGGGGGTGATTTTAGGGGGGGGGGGGTTTGTGTGGGAGGTACTCTCCGTATTTTACAAGAGACTAAACTCGATACCCTGAGGTTGGGGTTTAGGGTTTAGGGTTTAGGGTTTAGGGTTTAGGGTTTAGGGTTTAGGGTTTAGGGTTTAGGGTTTTGAGGTTTGGGTTTAGGGTTTAGGGTTTAGGGTTTAGGGTTTAGGGTTTAGGGTTTAGGGCTAGGGCTTAGGGTATAGGGTTTAGGGGAGTAGTCTCTGGCCCAGGCTGCTCGGCTTTCTGAGGTCTGTGCATGGCTTCGGCTGCACCGAGCTTGACCTCCCCTGAACCCGAAACCCGCAGCTCTCCTGGGCAATGTGGGCTTTCAAGTCCTAAACCCTAAGCCCTAAGCCCTAAGCCCTAAGCCCTAAACCCTAAACCCTAAACCCTAAACCCTAAACCCTAAACCCTAAACCCTAAACCCCTGCTGCGCAGCTTCTTGATGCATCCGAGGGAAGCACCACACTGGAGCGCACCTTCGGACTCATCGACGCTTGGCCTTTTTCGGAGCATTCACCACCCCAGAAGGGTTTAGGGTTTCGGGTTTGGGGTTTAGGATTTAGGGTTTAGGGTTTAGGCTTTAGGGTCCCTAACCCCTAGCCCCTAAACCCGAAGCCCTGAACCCTAAACCCCCCAAAGAAAACCCCAAGATTTGTCGGGAGTCGTGCCAAAGCTCAGATACCTCACTCATCCTAAACCCTAAACCCTGAACCCTAACCCTAAACCCTAAACCCTAAACCCTAAACCCTAAACCCTAAACCCTAAACCCTAAACCCTAAACCCTAAACCCTAAACCCTAAACCCTAAACCCTAAACCCTAAACCCTAAACCCTAAACCTTCCCAGAGCTATAGCTCAGGTGGCCTTCTTGGCCCTGGTGGTCTTCTCTACCCTTCTGGGTGCCTCAGCGGGCATGCTTCTTTTTGGAGACTTCTCTGGGGGGGTTCAGCAAGATTTAGGGTTTAGGGTTTAGGGTCTAGGGTTTAGGGTCTAGGGTTTAGGGTTTAGGGCCTAGGATTTAGGTTTAGGATTTCGGGTCGAGGGCTTAGGGTTTAGGGTGTAGGGTTTAGGGTGTAGGGTTTAGGGGTTTAGGGGGGGTTTTGGGTCTACAGTGCGTGGCAGGTGCCATCACAAGCCTTACGACTCAGCTGAACAAGGCTTCCGAGGAGCGCAAGCACCAGTTCCGCCAGCTGAGGCCGGGACATGTTTAGGGGGCTCCGGGCTTAGGGTTTGGGGTTTAGGGTTTAGGGTTTGGGGTTTAGGGTATGGGGTTTAGGGTTTGGGGTTTAGGGTTTAGGTTTTAGGGTTTAGGGTATGGGGTTTAGGGTATGGGGTTTCGGGTTGTTGGGGGCGGGGAAGTGGTGGTGAGAGTAATTAGCGGAGTCCCCCAGTGTGCGTGTCCCCTGCAGGAAGTACCTGAGCCAGCACCACATCAACGAGGACCTTTGCCCCCTAAACCCTACACACACACCCTGCACCCTGCACCCTAAACCCGAAATCCGAAACCCTAAGCCCTAAGCCCTAAACCCTAAACCGTAAACCCTAAACCGTAAACCCTAAACCCTAAACCCTAAACCCGACACCCTAAACCCTAAACCCTAAACCCTAAACCCTAAACCCTAAACCCTAAACCCTAAACCCTAAACCCTAAACCCTAAACCCTAAACCCTAAACCCTAAACCCTAAACCCTAAACCCTAAACCCTAAAACCTAAACCCTAGACCCTAACCAACGAGGATCTTTGCCTGCGCATCACCGGTTTCCTCGAGGAGGCCTACAAGCTGCGCCAGGCCCGAGTGTAGATGAAAAGGCATGGCAAGACCCTCCCCGAATTTCTTAAACCCTACACCGTAAACTCTAAACCCTAAACCCAAAACCCTAAACGCCTCACAGACCTGCGGTGCCCCTGAAAGGCAGGACTGGTCGAGTCCCAGGTTACGCTGCTGGAGTTGTTGTCCAAGCCCCTGCGGGGCGAACTGCCCCACGGCACCAAACATGCGGCACAGGGTTCAGGGTTTAGGGTTTAGGGTTTAGTTTAGGGTTTTGGGTTTTGGGTTTGGGGTTTGGGGTTTAGGGTTTTGGGGCTTGGTGTTTAGGGTTTAGGGTTTGGGGTTTAGGGTTTGGGGTTTGGGGTTTAGGGTTTAGCTGTGTTTTTTGTATCATCCCTGTGCTCTCATACTTTGAGAGCCTTCGACCTCCGCATCTGAAATGTGGTGTCGTGACGAGCCGAGGCAATATGCCAGGTACGAGAAATGTCTCGAGGCCAGGGATGCAGGTATTGAAGCGGCCTTTTGGGGTTTAGGGTTTGCGGCCTGGTTTAGAGTTTAGGGTTTAGGGTTTAGGGTCCCCTCCCTTTTGGGTTTGCATGTAGGTGCGAGGCTTCCTCTGTAGCTGGGAAAAGGCTTCCCTCTGTCTGGCAACTCCTCGCCGGGCATGTTTTGCGCCCTCGGGAGGAGATGTCCTTTGTGAGGGATGAGTTGTTGGTCCACGCTGCTTGGTCCGAGATACTTCTGGCTGGTAGGGGCGGGGGGGGGGGGGGAAGTTTGTTGAGCCCCTCAGACCAGATCTTGCATCCTAGTCTCTCCCAAGTGTCACTACATGGTGCAACTTGAGGGCGCTTCCACCATCACACGGGACACACGCAAAAACGTTCTGCGAGGTGAGGTTTATATGTCCATCGTTTTGATGAGCACACATAGGAGTTTCCGATTGGTACCCGGCCCCTGACCCCAAACTACGGTCATCCTGATTATCGGAACCCCGCAAAAGAGAAATAGGTACCGTACATCCCCTGACATACCCCGTCAAGGGATTACATATGCTACCTACCACCCCCTTGGGTACCTTGTTGGGGGTCCTTGCTATGAAGGAATCCTACTAAGGTGGGGTCTGTATTGGGGGTCCCTTTTTTTCCAAAAGAGTGGGCCCTAAACCCTAAACCCTAAATCCGAAACCTAAACCCTAAACCCTAAACCCTAAACCCTAAACCCTAAACCCTAAACCCTAAACCCTAAACCCTAAACCCTAAACCCTAAACCCTAAACCCTAAACCAGCATAAACGTGCCGAGGACAATCCTCGGAACCTCCAGGCGGCGAAGAACCTGGCCACCGAAGCCCTGGCGCACAGCTGCTGCCTTTGCATCGAGTTGCTGTGCGCTTTGTGTTTGACTTTGGGGAGGGGGGGGGGGGGGGGGATGAGGAGGGACCCTCAACCCCTAAACCCCTAAACCCCTAAACCCCTAAACCCCTAAACCCCTAAACCCCCCTAACCCCTAAACCCCTAAACCCCTAAACCCCTAAACCCCTAAACCCCTAAACCCCTAAACCCCTAAACCCCTAAACCCCCTAAACCCCCTAAACCCCCTAAACCCTAAACCTAAACCCTAAACCCTAAACCCTAAACTTTCCCTAGCGGGCTCCGAAGGAACCTTTGCTCCAGCCGACACCATCTTCGAGGCTGAGGCACCCCATCGGGGTGACGGTGTGGAAAGCCTTGGCTCTTTTGTGTCCCTTCTGAGCAAAGTTTAGGGTTTAGGGTTTAGGGTTTAGGGTTTAGGGTTTAGGGGTTCAGGTGTACTGTTGATGCAGGTCATTGCCAACCACGCCTATTTCCTGACCTCGGGCACCTTGGGCAGAGACTATGTCGTTGTGCGAATGAGGTTTGAAGTGCAGGGTTTAGGGCCCGGAAACCAGGATAATTAGCTGAGTAAAAGCTAGCAACTCCACACGGAGGGTTTAGGGTTTATGGTTTAGGGGGTGACAAAACCAATGGCAGGATCATGCGCGTGCACGAGCGTACACAGGCCGGGTATGCTGCCAGCGCCAACGGTCTTTGCTCTTCCATGGCCTGTGGCCCCATTTCCCTTGCCCTTGTGCCTTCTTGTCCCACGACTGTTGCATCGGCAGCAGAGATGCTGCGGCATCCAACATGTTCCTGCAGTATTGCTGCAGCATAGGCAGATGCCGTGGGGATCCTGGGGCCCAGTTACCCTAAACCCTAAACCCTAAACCCCTAAACCCTAAACCCCTAAGCCCGTAAACCTCGCCAATCCTTGTTTTTTTTTGGCACAAATCCAAGAGCCCATGTGGAGCCCAAATGGGCGTTTCCCAAGATAGGGGTACCCCTATGGTCCCCTTAAAAAAAATCCCAACAAGGGTACCCCATTTTCGGCAAAATGAGCAAAAAGAAGATAAGCAACTGCTGATGCTCGGGCTTTGTCGAGCCAGACTGAAGCTCCGGGTAGTCCAGGTAAACCCTAAACCCTACCCCCTAAACCCTAAACCCTAAACCCTAAACCCTAAACCCTAAACCCTAAACCTTCTAAGAAGGCTAAGAGGACGAGGCCAGGTCGTTCCCAAAGTTCGCTTGCCCACGAAAAGGCGTCGCGCCATTTCAGACAGGTTCCGTTCATTCAAAGCTCACAGGTCCGAAATGACCCAATGGTCAACCTGCATACATGTTTCGAGTGCGAGGGAGCAATGTGCGGCAGTGCGCGGCGACCGGCATGTAGACAGGCAACTAAACCCTAAACCCTAAACCCTAAACCCTAAACCCTAATCCGGTTCGAATTTCAGCCAAGGTCTGCTTGTCTACGAGCTCAATGGCTACAAAGTGCGGTTGCAAGACAGCCGGTGGAGACTTGGACTGCAAGATTGGGGTTTGCCAGCGTTCTGCCGACCTCTGAACCCAAAGAGCCCAATACCCCTTAATTACGGAATATTCCTTAAATCCCATTCAGGATCCCTTTATAACTTAAGGTATATTCCTTAATTAAGGAGTATTGGGCTCTCTGGGAAATGGTGTCTTGAAGCCTGCTGAAAGCTTCTTGGATATACGTGCTAGCTGCTAGCTATCAACAGATGAGGATCCCACACAGGGAACAGGAACAGGCATCTTGAGAAGGATGAAGATGAAGCGCCCTCTCATGCCTCTCAATGAGGCTAGTGGAGATGAGCTTGTGGATCCCCTGGCTTCACTTAGGCCGGACGGAAGCATAGGAAGTGGTTCACAGGGTTTAGGGTTTAGGGTTTAGGGTTTAGGGTTTAGGGTTCGCAGCATTCTCGCATTCCTTGTATCGCCAACCCCCCCCCCCCCCCCGAGCCTCCGTTCCTTGAACTCTGCATCCTCACGCAGGTGAACTCCATACGGAGGACCCTGGGCTGCTTCGTTGGGCTGTGCTGGCATTTCTGCACAATCCGCGTGATGTCATTTTTGCTTGAACTGCCTGAGGACGTCTCCAGCCTAGTCATGCTCGAGGCGTCGCGGACGTTTGCAAAGAGTGGAGCGATACCCAATCTGCTACACAAGAGTAGTTTGCTTGCTTACAGGGTTCGCTCATCATGTTTGGCGCCTCACCCTTCCCTCCTTTACCTTTCGCACCTCAGGGCTTTGTGATCCCAAGCATGGGGTGTGGTCCAGCTCAAGGATTCTCTTGTCACACAGACAGTTCTTGGGCCCTGGGGGGGCGATCGATGTCCGGAAGGTCGGAAAGTTTGCTGCCAGCATTCGGCGGTCCTCCAACGGTCAGAGCCTGGCACAGGCCTGAGTGGTGGACGAAGAAAAGGGGGCTCATGGCTGCCTTGGCCTAAACAATAAACCCTAAACCCTAAACCCTAAACCCTAAACCCTTAAACCCTAAACCCCAAACTCCAAACCCCCAAACCCCGAAACCCCCGAACCCTAGACCCCAAACCCTACACCCTCAACATGTGCAGGACTTTGCCCAGAAATACGTGCAAGCCTTGCAACTTGCCTGCATTAGCATGACATGCAGGGTTCTACTCGTATCCCCAAGGGTACCTTTTTTTAGGGTTTAGGGTTTAGGGTTTAGGGTTTAGGGAGACTAGGGGAGTACGTGAAACAGGGCTTATATGACTGTTACTTCGATGTGAGAGTATTTAGGGTTTTTTTTGTAATATTGGTGGAGTGTACATAATTGGTGTCCTGTTTGGGATACCAGTCCCAAAAGCCCTACTTCATACAGAGACGCTGAATCTTAAGCCCTAAGCCCTACGAACTAGCAACTGTCATTTGCTTAAGAACCCCCCAAAAACAAAAGACAATCATTCCGCATATTACCCTTATAAGGAAGAATGTATATATATATATATATTTATTATTATTTTTTGGGGGGTTCTTAAGCAATTAGTAGGTAAACCCTAAACCCTAAACCCTAAACCCTAAGCCTTAAACCCTAAACCCTAAACCCTAAACCCTAAACCCCGTATGCTCTTGACATCCGAGGAACGAGCTGGAGGTGCTTACAGACTTGTGGCAAATCCCGCCGAAGATCGAGTCGGCAGCTTGTTCTCAGAGGTGTAGGCGGTTTAGGGTTTAGGGGGTTTAAGGTTTCGAGGGGTTTCTGTGGTTGCGAGCGTCTGTGCGCGGCCGCGGACGGAGAATGTCCACCAACGCGTAAAGTCGACAAGTGTGAACAGTTCTCCAGGACGCGAAGAGTCGAAAAGTCCAACAGAGTCCAGAAAAATGCAAACAATGCCTCCCCGCTCCCCAGGCCAAAAAGTGGGAAAGGGCGAAACGCGGGACAAGTGCCGAACAGTTCTTCAAAGCTCCATGTCCGGGTTCTTTCCAGGGCTTCCTGGGGGCTTGAAAGGTTTAAGGGGGGGGGGGCTTGTGCTCTTCGAAGCTCCCAAAACTTGCGCAACCGCAATTGCGGCCCTTCACCCTAAACCCTAAAGCCAAAACCCTTTAAAACCCTAAAACCTAAAGAAGAGCTCCTGGAAAAGTCAAAGAGCACAAACACCACAGAGGGTTCAGCAGGCTTCGAACTCGGAGACACTCCCCGAGCCACCAGCCTCTTTTGGGTTTCATGTGGGGGCAATGAAGCAGGGTTTATATTACTGTTTTTGGTGAGTGTATATAAGGTTCCTTTTTTAAAATTGGTGAGTGTGTATACCTGGTGTCCTTTTTGGGAGTACAAGAAATATATACCCTGCTTCATATGGGTTCAGGGTATTAGGGTGTTTAGGGTTAGATGGGTTGAGGGTGCTGGGAGTGCAGAAGTTGCCAAAGGAGGTCAACGCATTGCCATCTTGCTGTATTCTCTGGTTATTTGCGCTTATGTTCATATTCTTTTCATATATATATGTGTATATATATATATGTATATATATATGTAAATATATATATTCTTTTACATGTGTATGAATGAAGAGTCATAGGTTCTGAAAATTCTTACCAGAAGGCGGGCTGGAAGTCTTAGAGCCCACTGAGGCGGCAGTTCACAGCGGGGGGCCCTTTTGGGTTGCGCTAAGGTGGAGGGCCCAGGGCGGTCTCTTCGACGTGCTACTAGGGGGGTTTAGGGTTTAGGGTTAGGCTTCCCCTGCCCCCAAAATCGGCAAAAACAGGCACTCTTAAGATTGCTGCTTCACGCAAGGAACTTCATGACCGCAAGCATTGAAAAGACGTGCACAGATGGACAAGTAGGACGCGGAGAGTCGAAACCTGCGGAAGCTCTCAAACCAGTCGAAGAGTGCTCCAGGATGCGAACAGTCGAAAGCTAAACGCCTTTCGGCTTTTTTGTGAGCTTTTCGCGCGCTTCCCTGTCCGCAGTCTTGCACGGCCGGGCCTAGCAAGGCGTAGGGCTGAGGGTTTTAAGTGGCGGCGTGTCTATGAAGATGGTACTTCAGAGGTTTGGGGGTTTCGGGTTTAGGGCTTTGGGTTTAAATTTAGGCTTTAGGGGATCCTGGGACATGTTGAGGTCGAGGATGGTTGAAGGCAGGTTGTTTGCCTTTTCAGACCCTGGTGAACTTCCTGAGCACGATAGAACCCAGCCTGGCATACCGCGCGAGCGATCCCTGAGACTACAGGAAACCGATCATGACACTCATCATCATCGACGTGCCAGCTTCGATCAAGGAAGACGCTCCCGGGAGTCAGTTTGTGTATTACCCAGATCTTCCAAAACCCCTTAATTAAGGAATATACCCTCATGTATACTAAGGATCCTTATTTTGAATTAGAGTACCTGAATTAAGGGGTTTTGGAAGGTCAGTGCACGTCTTGGCTTCACGGACCTGCCTCACTAGAGATGTAGCTTCGAGGCGCAATCGCTCGAGATTTTGTTTTGCTCCTAACCCCTCAGCCCTAAACCCAAAACCGTAAGAGCTTTCCATTAAAGTTTCCATTAAGCTGGAGCACACAGCGCACTCCCCGAAAACTCTGCAAAAAGCACGGGTGCCAGGGTTGAGGGTTTAGGGCCTACATCAGTGGGCCGGGAGCTCTCAACACTGAGGTTTCTTCCGGCGCTTCATCTCGATGGATGGTGACTTCTCGAAAATCGTCCCCGACAAGTAGCATCAGCTTGGACGACAATGTATTCCAGTCGAAATTTCTTGAATTCTGTGTTCAGACCGTCTGAAGTCTGCGCCAAGTGTGCTTGGCATGTAGGAGCAAGTGATGCGCACTATCAAAGCTTGGGGTGCGTGCTTAGGGCCTGTCCAAAAGAAGTGCAGATTGCAGAGGTGTGGCCAGCATGGAAGAGTATGCGAGTGCTGGCATGTAGCAAGGTATTCGTTGGAACAGACAGCCACAAGCTTGGACCTCTCCGTACCCACACCCTGATGTAATGGTTTTTGCAACCGTCCCCATTCAATCGCGCAACCCGTGGGGGTTCCGGGCTTGGATCCCCCTGTCTGCGAAATTCGTTCCGTGTTGTGCTCCGTCCTTCAGTGTAGGACATTCCGGAGGCCTGCAAAGGCTTGCTACAAGCTCCCGCGCATTTTCGGGGGCAATCTTGAGCAGCCTACTACAGGGCACTTCCCTTCGCGTCTCTTGTGATTCCTTACCGCATTTTCCGCAGCTAAGCTGTACCTCTTGAACAATGCAGCATTTGCAATCTTCAGCGAGAGGCTTCCAAGAAGCAGCATCGCTCACATTCTTCTTCCAAGTTGGGCAGGCATCTCTCGATCTGAGACAGTGCACATGAATCAACTACATGTGCAGCACTCGTATCAATCAAGGAACAGTAAGGCTGGCAAGATGCCAGCAAACCAGAAGACGGCAAGAATTGACACACCCTCTCCTCACACATCCTTGCTGATGCTCTGGTGATGCTTGCGATGTTTTACAACGCTTCAATGCCTGCGTCGCAGGCGGGAGCCTTTTCGGGCCTAAGGGAGCACGGTGCGGCTTGAATTGGTTCGAGTTTTCGAAGACCTTAAATCCTATAGGGGTTCGGGGTTTGGGGGTGTAGTGGTTTAGGGTTTCGGGATCAGCGTTTCGCGCACAATAGTTCAACTATTCCTGAACCGACTTCAGACGGTGGCTTGGTTCTAGAGACGGCTTCACACGAGCACCTCGTAGCCCCTGTCGGCCTTGAGCATTTTGCTCGAATGAACTTTCCCTGCACTTGGGGGGAAAGGTGCAAGGGCAGCAGTGGATTACGCTGAAGTCATGGCCGTGCTTTCAAGTCTTTAAATCAGGAAGCTGGTCTTTCAACGTTGCCGCGGCGGCTGTAGCCTATTTCTTACCTTCGCCAGGCGCTTGTCCGGCACACTCAGAAATGGCGCTCGTGCTACTTATGTGGGGGCTTACGAAAATACAGAACCCTTAACAAAAACACCAAATGGTGGGATCCCTTACAATAAGGAACCCAATAAGGTACCTCTTATCCCCATCTTTTCTGCAAGCCCTACCCTGTAGGGCCCCTTCTAAAACCTTGCTCCAGTTCTATCGGTTCTTAGGGTTCGTTAGAGCCGTACAGTGTAGGGAGTCTTTGTATTTTATTTCATGGTTTTTTTTTTTGGTGAGGGGTGGGGGGGGGGGGGGTGCAATAAAGCATAGTGGAAAGGGGGGGGGAAGGCATCATTGTGCTGCATCACCATTCTGTCGCCGCGCCTGCAGGGGAGTAGAAAAGCCACACAAGAACGCGCAAGAGCTTTCCAAGATGTATACCTGCTGGGATGTTCCCCCTTATACTAGCAAGCCCCCTGTGATCATCCCTAGTAAGCACAGTTCGTTAAAGGGCGGAACATCACAAGATACTTACCTGGTAGACTGCCTTCGAGTCGTCTGTCTGCAACCATGGCAGAAAGCAGCGACTCCGATGAGAGCTCCATCATCGCCTGTGACGCTCCTGAGCCCTCGCGCGCGAAACCCCGGAAGGCCGAGGACTGCTTCTTTGATATGGTATGTAGATATAGATCAAGAGAGGCTGTAGCACAGCCTCTCCTAGATATGTATTTGTCTAAGTACACACAGGTATAAATCTGATCATGATCATGTATACATGGCAGAGAATATGTGAGATCAGGTTCTTTGCATGGATTCACAAAGCTTGCTGATGCTGCTCGTATCGGCAGGACATGACCTTCTGGGACCTCCACACACTCCTCGCAGAAGCAGGGCGGGAGCAGTTTTTGAAGGTTTAGGAGTTAGGGTTCAGGCTTAAGGGTTTAGGGTTTGGGGTGTAGGGTTTAGGGTTTAGGGTTTAGGATTTAGGGTTCATTGTTTCGGGCTCATCCGGCAGCTGCTTTGAAGCACTCAGGAGCGCCACAAGGCGGAGCTGGACGACTTGACTCGCAAGTT